ATGGGAATGCACATCCATCCTCTGTACTCTTCAGAAGCGATCTTGCTCTGTGCACTGAATTCACTCCAACATACATCATCCTTTTCTTCAACATCAATGACAAACAGAAGCCTGTCTTCATCATCAACATCATCATTCAGCTCAATACAAATGTTTGTATCAGTATCCAAGATTGTGTGGTTATTCCACATTGATCTTAGCAAGGCAGCAGCATCAGACACTATAATAATCTGCATAAGATCAAATGCAGGTTGCCGAAGAGCATTATGAAGTGATGAATCCTTCAAAGAAGCCACGAGTGAAGGGCCCCTGTTAATTAGATTGCAGTAAGTGATTCATTCGCATTGTTTCCTATTAAGAACAGTTGTTCAATCAGATCATCAAATTAAAGCATGCATAAGTGAAAAACCCAACCATCTTTTCCAAAATCTCTATCTTTAACATTATTATTAAGTGCCTTCAAACTTCGTGCAAGCAGAAATGTTAGATCACGAAGAGATGCCAAAGAGAAGCAAACAATTCAAAACAATGTATGAATTTTCTTCTTCACTCCTTTTTCTAAGAAAATGGAACATGCAAATCCCCTAGTTCTACAAATAGAGGTAAAATAGCACAGAGAATAATGCTTCAACAAAAATAATATTGTCTTCCAAGAATCTCCACCTTTGACAGCATATGTTTTTCCCCATGAAAATCTATCCCCACACCTACAATCTCCTTTTTCTAAAACATTTCTGGCCACACTTAAAAGACAAGTCCGAACTCAAGCAATGCCATACCTTCAACCCCTTCCCTGGTAAAATGCCTAAAAATTAATTGTAGGAAAAATATAAAAAACAATTATCAATAAAGCAGACGAGCTTCCAATTTATGATCATCATCAAATATAGAGGATTCAACACTACATACCACATATGTGCACATTCATAAGGGGGGCATGGTGGGTTCATCTTATAGCCTCGGTGTACAATAAGAAGGGCTATCTGAAAAAGCAATGATTAATAGCATTAATGAGATAAAAGAGAAGAAGTACCCACAACAGAAACTTAAAAATGGCAGTCTAGAAGAAGTGATAAAAACCTTGCATCCAAGTTTTCTCGTAAGAACATTGAAGTTGCTGCTCACGGGAACTTGATGGAGTAGGAAATAAAGGAAGTGCCTGCGTTGCTTTTCATGTTCCCCATCTTGCAAAGACTCAAGAGACTGGACAGGTAAACTTCTGCACATCAGTAATGTCCAGAAAAATAATTTGCACAATTAATTCCATAAACGACAAGAAGGATAAAGAAGCATTGATAAAGGGCTTGAGGAAAGAAGATGGCAGAATGATTTCCTGACATGCCTGCAGAAAAGGTGGAAAAAGATCAAAAATGTCTTTATGGATTTTTTCATTTCGAGTATGGAAACACTGGCCCAGCAAAGTGTTACGCATCACACTTGGAGACAACGTAGACCTCAGCCAAAGTTTGCAACCTTAAAGAAACAAAGAGCAGGAAAAGGATCACTCCATCATTAAAACAATACAAAGTGAAATCTAAAAATATAACTAAATAAAAGAACACAGAAGAAGAGGCACTTCCTGCCTTACCAAGCATTTTGAAGAGTTCTTTCAAACAGCTTACTGCATGAGAAAATTCAGCCAAGTCGCCACTGATATGGTTGAGCACAATATCAATAAAAATGGGATAGCGCTCCAGTATGCCTTCTTCAAAAGCTGGAGGTTCTAAGAACTCAAGCCTTCATGAAACAGAATATAAGTATCATCATAAGAAAGAGTGGAAGAGAGAGAGAGAGAGAGAGGGGGAGAGAGGGGGAAGAGAGAGGTTGAAAGAGTAGTTTAAGGTTGAGATTATAGTCACTGCTTCATACAATGATGTGATTCCAAGCCATATGGGTAGGCGCTCCAATTGTGCTCTTGGCCTTGAAGCCTTAGAAGCCGATGGCAATATTTCTGTCTCTAAAAACCCAATGAATTTGTTCAGTAAAGGCTGCAAAGGTTCCAAATCAGTTGCTCCTCTACACAGAAACAGGATATATTCATCAGAAAGAATAAATAGAGAACCCTGCATCCCCAGTTGATGTTGACATGACCAGAAGGTAACATTTTTGCCGAAAGGATGGCCACAATCTGCAGATGACGAGTGCTTCATTCATGACTTAAAGATCATAAAATGTGGTTGACCAATGATCGTAATCCTTTCCCACAAGTGAAATTCCAATTAGACTGTACAAGACATTCAATTTGAACAGTACCTCAATTTCTCCATAGATCGTGCTAAACGTCTGCCAACAGTCCGTACTCTTCTATTCAGAAAAAGCAACGCATATACACCCTGACAAACAAGATGTAATCTATGAGTAGGGAAAGAAAGATAAAGACAAAGAAAGCAACACAAGTATGTCTGGGCAGACTCGGCCAACCATATACCGGAAACTGTTGATGTCCAGATAAAGCCAGTTCATGCATATTATCAACCGCTTCAATAAATAATTCAAATTCAGAGAGCAAACACTGATCGTCCAGCAGGACAGGAAACATCAAGACCTGCAATTCAGTAAAAAAAAAAAAAAAAAAAAAAAAATAAGAACATGTCAGTTGGAAAATAAATCAAAGATCATTTTAAAAGGAGAAACATACAACTCTTATCCCCTCTCCCACCTAGAACCCAACAAACCACAATATACAATTTGCCCCCTCCCCTCCCCCCACAGCTAAGTTATCATTTAAAACCACAAACAGGGGAGGCCAGACAGATGTTTCTCCATCAAACTAGCACATGTATGCATCCTGGGTTGTAAAGTGAAAGCACTAGATTCTTTGCCACATATAATGAGATAACCATCCCCTCATATCAGGAAATTGATAACATTAAATTTTTCTGCTCCCACATCAATCAGATCACACACACTCCATTTTTTATTCCAATTCCATAGTTATAATACTCAGATAATTTAGATAGCACTCCTATCAGTTCACCACCTATAAAAATGCTTACTTATACACGATGCTTGAAGCATAGTTGAACTTAATATCAGCACCTTTCATATATGTCATCAAAACATTAAAGATTCAAAACAGAACAACAGAAACCAAACAAATACTCCATAATAATACCTCATACATGAGACTAACAACATCAACATTATCACGCAAAGGATCATACTCCTGCTTCTTCAATCTATCATTGATCTCTCTCAAATGCTGAGTCACCCTTTCCTCATCAATACTCCTTAACACCTCAAGAAGTGGTCCAATAGAACTCGACTCGTACTCTTTATCATACATCTCTTGAGCCTGATGATGCTGAGATATACACTGGATACAATGCCGCATTTCACCAGACATCCTCTTCCATAGTAGCCGGAGAGGAGAGTCCTGCCGGTCATCTTTAAAGTAATTGTAAAATGTCTCTAAAAGTGGACCCATTAAATCAAAATCCCCACACCATATATGTTCTTCTTTAGGCAAACTAATCAAGAAAGTAAATGTGTCTGCAAACCTACAATTAAGGAAAAAAATTAAACCTAATTTAACAAAATAGTAATAACATGTAGTATAATTGAGAAGGAAAAAGAAAGAGACCATTGTTCTTTGAGGAGGTGAAGACGGCGTCGTATAAGTGGATTATCGCCATCGTCGGCATGTAGTTCTTCTTCTTCTTCGATTCCTCGCCATCTATCTGATAATCCTTCCCTCTTCGCCATTTCCTCCTCTTTTTTTAATCGCTAAGGATCAATTAAAATCAGAAGGCTACAAATTTCTAGGGTTTTTCTACTTGATTGTGGAAGAATAGGGTTTTTAGGGGAAGAGAAAAAGGTTTGTTTCCACTACATAAAAGAGGGAAATAAGCGGTTCCTTCTATTTATACTGTATATAGGGAAGGGACGCTGGAACAAAATCAAAGCGCCAAGAGGGATAGAGGGAGAAGCCGTTAAACGACACCGTGGCTTCTGCGTGGTTTTCTTTTTCAACTGGGAAAAGGCGGCTTAATTCTTGAGAACCTGAAACGTCGTCGTATCATCTTTATGACTATGACCATGACATATGTCTTCTCCTGGTTACTGTAGAAAAACGAGTAAATTATAAATTAGTCCCTCTCGTTTTGAAAATTGAAATAACTAGTCTTTGTGTTTCACAACCTAATTATTTTGTCTTTTTTTTTGTCCAATTGATGTTCTTTTCTAATTTGTTTTGTTTTGTTGTTTTAAAAAATACAAAAAAAAAAAAAAAAAAAACGAAGAATAAATATTTTTAAAATATCAATAAAAAATAAGATATTTTAAAAATAAAATTATATTAAATTAAACGTAATAAATACAAATTAAATGAATAAATAATTAGTTTTTAAAACAAAAAACCCATCCGACGCTTTCCACACCAAAATTAATCCCTTTCCCTCACGAAAAATAATCCCTTTGTAATGAAATCTTTCAAGTTATAGACTTACAAAACAAATTATTTTCTTGCAATCTCAATAGGAATTTTTTTTTTTTAGTTTTTTATAGGACATGGATTTTCAATGATGGATAGCAGAGTTACTTCTGCTACTATAATCAACTAAAGGCAGGATTTAGTAAGTGAAATTCCATTTGAGATGGATTTCCTAAGCACATACCGACCTCTTTTGATTGAATAATGCAACAAAATTTATTGGTAAAGAGAATTTGTCAGTACAAAAATGTACTAATATGCGTAAAACAAAATTTTGTTAATGAATGACATCAAAAACCTGTTTGGTACATATCAAGCTTCTAAGATTTTTTTTTTTTGAAGCTCAGCTGATGAATTTTAGCTTAGGTCAGAAGTAGAAATGGGCATTACATAAAAGGATAGCCCAATCTTATAATGATGGTATCCATAAACCTGTGAGATTCAATCCTGGGTCACCGGAACAGTCACCAGCAGGCAAGTGGCCACCTTTCCCCTTATCTTTATGATAAAATTATCCCAGCATTGGTCTCCAAAAGGAAGATGATGCAGGATTTTTTTGCCGAACCAGTTATAAAAGCCGTTTTTCGACGAGCAGTATATCTTTCCAAGCTTCATAAAACATCCAAGTGATGCCGGAAGAAGGCATCACCTTTAAACAACTTGCACCCCAGCCTCTATAGAGTCCCCTCAACCCCTCCTCCCTAATTACTTCTGAAAGTGCTGCTGCCATGTGGGGTGGACATTTACCCTGCAGAGCTCCCACCATAAGCCGTTTTCTAGCCACCTCTAATGGAAAGCTCATGGTGCTAGCAGTAAAACCTGGACATCCAAAATGTAAATGGATTGCAAATCAGCTCATAGAAAAGATGAGATAACAACAGCAATCAGTGTGAATATGTGTCTATCTAATAATTTAGGCTCTATAATTGCAATGTACCAGAGATCTCCATACTTTCACTGTGAAATATGGAGCAAGCAACCCTTTTCTCTAACATTATTCGAGATACTAAATGTGAAATTGAAATATACTTGTTTCCTCACCTGCAAAAGCTCCAATTAGGAGCATCTCTGGACGGTTTAGAGATTTTTTATTCTTTGCTTCACAATAAGATGTCTTCATTGTCTCGTACATGAAATAGTAGCACGTACTGTATGGAAGCATGCCTATCAGTGTAGGTGAAAGACCGGCATAAAAGGCACCAATCCCTCCATCTTTATAAATCTTGCTAATTGCAATGCTTAAATTAGGGTATATATCACGACTTACAGTCAATCTATCCTGCAAGAAATACAAGCGTTATGATCAGCTTCAACTAGAAAATAGAGATAAACAAAAGTCTGTGTTCTTGATGTCTCAACCCTCAAAGGTCTCCAGACTTGGAAACTGTAGAAGGAAAAGGTTGTGACCCAGTATGACATCTAATTTCCATTAATTAAAACAAAACAAATTGATATACCAATACACCATATAATCCAAGTCAAAGCAGGATCCTAGAAGGGATATTAAGTAAAATATATATCATCATGATGAATATAGAGTAAAACAGCTGATAGCTACTTGATGCTTAATGAAGTTCCATCTGAATTTCCAATTTTGGTATTAAGAGCTATGTCTCATAATGCAAATACCTTCAAAACTTCAAGAGGATGGCATGCGAGCGTGCTAACAATTCCAGCAGCAGCACCAGCCACAGCAACTGGAGAAATCCAGGAGAGAGAAAAGTTCAAACTAAAGGGACCAAGTTGCACCCTTGGGCATTCACTCTGACTCCATTTCTCTTGTGCCGATGTCATTGATCGCTTGACACACTCGAATGTTCCAAGCTCAATTGCCTGAGTAGGAATTATACGAAGCATATTGATTGCATTTCCTGCCCACAATCCTTGCCAACCCTGCTGCTCAATTATCTCCAAAAAACTACCAGAAATGTTTTTGGGTCCAACACCAACCACCATTCTTGTTCTGCATATCTCACAAGTAAAAAATGAGGAGACTTTTCATGAGTTACTGGTCAAGGCAGTAGCAAATAGTTATCAGCAAATCAAAAGGCTCCAAATATTAAGCATGCCTAAGTAAAACTTTGGAAGATCTCGAAGTCTTAGCATGACTTGGCTGGTTTCATTTTACAAATACTGAATTATGCTAGCAAAGTTGGTAAGAGTATATGACAATTTTCCAACTAGAATCAATCAAGAAACTCCTCTTCTTTGTTCTGAAATCTCAAAATCAATAACGTACATTAAAGTTCCAAACTCCTCTCATCAAACTTCAATTTCAAATTTTACTTCTTAGAATAGCTATACTTCAATAACTGACAAAATCTCAAACTCGATTTGCACTATACCAATTGAAAAACTAACAATAGCAACAAGTTCTACAGAAGTAATGTGCTAATCAATACATTTGGTTGTATAAAAACAATAACACAAGTGTTATAGAAATACGAAGAAACAGAGGAAATACTAACCTGATGGTTTCTAAGGGAGCAAGTACAGCTTTGGTCATAGCCCCTGCTAAAGCCCCGCTGAGAAACTCGCTGACTTCTCTACTCCTCATGAAATCCTGAGTTTTTACATTTCAAAGTGTCCTTTTTAAAATTTAAAAAGATCCAAAATAGGAACTTTCCATTCCACTCACTGAATTGAAAAAGAAAAACGAAAAAAGACGAAGGCTTTGCTTATATTCCGAGTTTAAACAACTGGGTTTTTTCTTTGTTATAGAGAAAAATAATGGGAAGATTCAGAATATTCCATCCAAAGTTCATTTATTTACTGCATAATTTTAATTTTCCCCATTGCTTTTAGTCTCAACTCAAGCAAGAAAAGAAAAAAGAAAAAAAAACACTTAAACAACAAAAAAAAAAAATAACACAATTTGAAACGGGAATGAAAAACTGATGATGATGATGATGATAAAATCAAAGGAGAGGAGTAGGAGGCACATACTCTAACAGCAATCTTGAGATCAGGGAGTTGAAATCGGAGCTCAAAAGGAGGAGCAAGAGAAGGAGGAGAATGTAGAGAAATAGGATCATCTAGCTCCTTGGGAAGCACCATGGTAATCCCACCGTACACGTCTCCAAAAACCCCGCCCTTCTTCTTCTGCGATTCAGTTTCAAAATCCATCGTCAAAATTCTCTCCTTTTTTTGGTTCTTTTTTCTCGTTAGGGAGTACAATATTTTTGTAGCTTGTAATGCAACTATGAGAGTATTAGTTTTATAGGATTATTACTATTCAAAGATTCGAGAAAAAACAGAGAGAGACAAAGGGAAGAAAGGGACATACCTGAGAGTGGGACTTTTGGGACATGGACGGATTTGAAGAGATATTTTTCCTTTCCTCTCCTCTCGATAGAGTTTTTTGTTCGTTTGCTTCTTTTGTTTTGGGGAGGAGGAAGAGAGAGAGAGGAGATTTCTTGGGGTTTTAGGGCTCTTCTACTTATAGTTTTTTACTACTACGTTTTTAGGGTTTTTGAACTGCTCAATTCTAGGCGCTTTACCTCTTTGGACTTTGGGAGTCCGTCTCCTTGTCTGTGTCTGTTTCTGAGACTGAGACCCCACCAGAGAAGAAAGTGAACCCACGAGTCTTTCCGGCGAATTTACTTTGACTTATTTACTATTATAATAATTATTATTAGTATTATTAGAAAACAATTTTTTTTATGGAAAATCATGAAGGATATGTATTCTGTGGCCCAAGAAGAGTTTTATCAATGTATTCATAATCAAGTTATTCCTACTAGGAATATGGCCCAAGATTAGTCTTAACAATGCATTCATAAAGTCCAATTTGTACTTCTTTCTTTTTTTCTGACACCAAATTGTAGTTTAAATTTGTTAAAAACACAAAATTAGAATGCCAATTCATAGGATATTTACCTTTTCAATTGATGATTGGGAAAATGGATTTTTAGCTTACAACTTGGGAAGTAAATTATAAATTAATCTCTTTAATTTTGAAAAATAAATAAATTAGTCTTTTTGTTTTGAAAACTAATTATTTAATTTTTATAGTTTTAAATTCATTGTAACTTAATCTTTTTAGTCCTTTTCAATTTATTTTAATTTTTATTTTAAGAAATTAAAAATAATAAGAGATAAATAATATAGAAAGATTGATGAAAAAAATAAAATAATATTAAAAACGTGAACGATGAAAGACTAAATAATTAGTTTTTAAAATTAAAAAAAAATTAATTTATAATTGACTCCAACTAGGGAGTAGTATTTATTTAGGGGGAAAAAAAGTGGAAGTGCTGCAAAACAGACTTCTTTTTTCTATGTTGACCTATCCTATAGAAACTGAAAGATTTCCTTTTTTTGGATCAAATTTGAGAATTTGGGATGGAAAGTTACCCTCTGTTTGGATAGGGTAGAAAGTGGGGGAGAGGAAAGAAAATAGGGAGGAAAGAAAAGGTTTCCTCCGTTTGGCTTGCGGAAGAAAGCCGAGGAAAGAAAAAAAATATTAAACAAAGCTAAAAGAGGTGGGACCCATTTTCCTCCCAAAATTGGGAGGAAATGGGGAGAAAAACGGAAGGAAACGCATTAGCTCATTGTTCTTCCGGTTTCACCCTTGGCGACCATCGCTTCTCTTCCTCTTCCCCGCACTCTCTCGCTCTCGCTTACCAACGACCATCATAGAACTTCGCAAATCCACTCCTTCTCTCCTTCTCTCTCGCAAAACGGAAGGAAACTCATGTTTCGCCCTTGCTGCCGTTCCCTGCTATTGCTCGGCCATCGTGCCTCTGCCTCTCCAAATCCACTCGTTCTCTCTCGCCGAATCCGTTACCAAAACGACCACGAAACTCGTCTCTGCAAACCCATTGAGGCGCCGAGGGTGGTAGAGGCGATGGTGGAGTTGGCGCGACCATGTCGAGTGGTATTTTCCAATGGTAGTTCCCATTGAGGCGCCAAGGAAAGAATAACGAAGGCAAGAGAAGAGAGAGAGAGAGAACAAAAATAATAAATAAATAAATTTAGCGAGAGATGTACGATTACACAAGCGTTAGCAACAAGGATGCGAGCAAGGAGATTGATTTGGAGGCGGGAAATGGAGAGACTTTGTACCCAAGTTTGAGTCTTGGAGAGAACCGATTACGATGGGGCTTGATTCGCAAAGTTTATGGCATCTTGGTCGCTCGGCTTGTCCTCACCACGATCGTCTCCGTCGTTACGGTTCTTTATACTCCCATGATCGATCTCCTCGAGGCGGTTTTGGGTTCGTTTTGCTTCTATCAATTTTGCCCTTTATTTGTAAGTACTCACAATTCGAGATCTCTCCTTTCCTTTTGCTTCTTTCTTTTTCCTTTCTTGATTTATTTATTTGCTTTAAATTCCATGTTTTAGGATTTTTTGGGGGGGTAAAGATTCAAACTTGAAATTGGGTTTATGTTTTCTTGATCCGTATTTTTGTTTTGTTTTTTTTTTATATGCGTATTTTTTTCTTGATTTAATCTGAAATTTTGGGGCTTGGGGTTAAAATTGGAACTTGAATCGGAGCCTGCGGGTTTCTTTTTAAAGCCTATGTTTGAAATGATTTAATAGATCATTGGCTTAATTCAATCACTTGCAAGAGGATTGTGAATTTGAATGTTTCTTGGAAATTTTGTGCTTTTATTCTAAATAATAAGTGTAAAAAAATGCGATATTGTGGCCACTTGCATGTGTATCACTAGAAACACCCCGTGAATCCGATCATTCTTGGCCTCTTCACGGTTTCGTCGAGCCTCTTGGTTGGAGCAAGTCTGTGCTAATATAGAAGGTCGGTATCTTTATCTTATCTCGTTTGGACATCTAATAATTCGTTGCTTCGTCGGCTACTTTATGTGCAACTTTTATAATTATGGTGTGAATATTGTCATGCTTTCGTATGCTTTCGGGTAAAATCGTGCTTGAGGCATTAATTCGACCTCGACTGTGGTTTGCTCTCTAACTGCGTACACTTTACGGGCTTCTAAGAAGGGCGAGGACTTTAGCTTCCTTGGACCAATTCTCTTCACTCGCCCTTATTATCCTTATCCCGACTAGTTTTATCCAGGTCATATGCCTCATTTTCGTCAAGTGATCCGGCCATGGATATATTTTCCGAGCCCCGCAAATCTATTATTTGTTCACCCGAGTGTATAGGCTCGATGTTATGGATGTTCTCGTATTATGCGGGTGTTCTTCCCATTTGGCTCAACATCAACTGCAGTTTATGGTGGAATTAGTGCTTTGATTTTCCGTGGATATATTGTTTATGACACCGACCACTCGATTAAGCGCTTCTCTTATGATGAGTATATTTTGGCCTCCGTTGCTCTTTATTTGGACATTACGAACCTCTTTCTTTCCATTCTGCGTGTGCTTGAGTCGGAGAAACAATTAGTTGTACAGACATACTCTCTTCGACCGGAGTTAGCATGTAATTATATCTTTGATAATACCTGATAACTCGATATGAGATTGTGGATTTTATATGTTATTAATGCACTCTGCTAGTGCCTAAGTGAGATCTGTTGCTAGTCGCGAGTCCTTGGTGTTCCATTTGCCTAAGTGATTGTGGTAAATATATATTCTCTTGTATATAACTCTTTATCTATGCTTCCTAATAGAATTTCATTTTACATCAAACTAGAATCACTATTAACCAACCGTAATTTACTACTAAAGTATGCACTTGTTTTTTAATGAGCAAATGTTATACGGACAAACAAATCAACAAAATTTTCATACAAACTATTATTTAATATTTTCAGCATTTTCTTTTAATAATTTTGAATTTAATATCATGGAATAATATTATCCAATAGAAAAAAATGTATATAAAAAAATAAACATGCAAGTTAATTTGACAACCAACTATAAAGAGGTGGAATCTATTTTAAGTAGAATTTTTTTTTAAAAAAAATGTAACGCTAGTATTTTTATGTTGAGTTAATTAATTTTTATTTGTTTATATTAGAGTTAAGTTTATTTTATTTTATTTTATTTTTTTATGTGCTTTATGACTTGGGTGACAATGATAATCAGAACACATTGTTAATCGTAAGGATGGCAATGGATAGATATTCGTAATGATAATCGAAGCTGTTACCAACGAGTCCTCGAAAACCGTTACGGAGCAACCTCTTTGAAAAGGTGATTTGAACCACCAAAGAAGCTCGACAAACACCCCTAAACCAGCTTCAAAACCACCAAAAAAACCCCTAAACCCATTAAAAACGAGGCCTCAAACCAACCCCCAAAACAAACCTAACACCGATCGAAAAGCCCCAACACTCAGCCCTGAAACTGTTATAAACAGCCCCGAAAACTGTTACAGAGCAACCCCTTTGGAAAGGCCATTTGAACCATCAAAGAAGCTCCACAAACACCCCCAAACCAGCTTCAAAACCACCCAAAAAAACCCCAAAACTCATAAAAAACGAGGCCTAAAACCAACCCCCAAAACAGACCCAACACCTATCGAAAAGCCCCCAAACTCAGCCCTGAAACTGTTACCAACAACCCTCGAAAACCGTTACAGAGCAACCCCTTTGGAAAGGCCATTTGAACCACCAAAGAAGGTCCACAAACACCCCCAAACCAGCTTCAAAACCACCCAAAAAACCCCCGAAACCCATAAAAAAAAAGGCCTAAAACCAATCCGCAAAACAGACCCAACACCTATCGAAAAGCCCTCAAACTCAGCCCTGAAACTGTTACCAACAGCCCCCGAAAACTATTACAGAGCAACCCCTTCGGAAAGGCCATTTGAACCACCAAAGATGCTCCACAAACACCCCCAAACCAGCTTCAAAAACACCCAAAAAAACCCTAAAACCCATAAAAAATGAGGCCTAAAACCAACCCCCAAAACAGACCCAACACCTATCGAAAAGCCCCCAAACTCAGCCCTGAAACTGTTATCAACAGCCCCCGAAAACCGTTACAGAGCAACCCCTTTGCAAAGGCTATTTGAACCACCAAAGAAGCTCCACAAACAACCCCATACCAGATTCAAAACCACCAAAAAACCCCCCCAAAAAAACCCACCAAAATAGACACAAAATATCCCTCAAGACATCCCCTGGAACACTTTTTGGAGTTAATGAAAAAGAAAAGAATAAATAAAAATTATTTGTGATTTGTCTCATTTTCTATGATTCAATTGACTTTCGATTATTGTTCGCAATGTTAAAATATATTCTTTTTTTTAATTGCTTAATAGTAATTGTTTATTCTAAAAAAAAACGGAGAAATGATGAGTAAAAGCAACTAACTTATTATATGCATAGCTAATAATACATGTTATACATATTTAAATTAATTTTATGTTGATAATTAATATAAATTGACTATTGGATTAATTAATTAATTAACGAGTTATCGGTTATGCTATAGAGACGATTCATTATCTATCTTATCATTCGGATATATGCTACATGCTAGATTTTTTTTATCATCATTTGTGTTATTTTCATTACCAAAATATTCATACAAATTTATTATAAGTATTTAAATATATAAATATAATCACAAAGGTATTATAATAAATATACAATCATACATTTTCTTTCCTTCCTTTTCCAAATAAAGAAAATGTATTTTCTTTCCTTTCCATTCCACTCTTATCCAAACAACAAGTAAAAAATGATTTTCTTTCCTCCCTCTTTTCTTTTCTCTCACTTTCTTTCCTCTCTTTTCTTTCCTCCCAAGAGGAATTATCCAAACATAGGGTTAAGGAATTGCCAGAGCATAACAAATAGGTAGACTTTGGGGTCTCACTCAGTCATAGGCCCAAGTGACACGTGGTGCTCCTTTTCCATTTTCTAATTTGAGACTCTTCCACATACGACCAGGACCATTTAAAGAACCTTGCAGGCAAGGGAATGGGATGGGAAAGCGAAGCTGCGACCATCCTCCAGAAGTTACTTCCCACTTGTGGTCATGGCCTTTTGGCATTATCCCTCATCCTTCATATAGTATAAGAGAAGGAATCCCCACGTACACACAAAATTCAATACAATTATTTATACGTGCTTGTTTTTGATGTTTTGGATCTTACTGTTTAAAAATCACATGAAAAATGGCACAAAAATTTGTGAAAGGACAGAGCAATCGAAGTTCTCCGCATGTTTAAAAAGAACAAAATGATTCGAGCAAATCTGCAATGAAAGGAATTGCTGTTTGGCACGAGGGTCATAAAAGTTCACAGAGGGGCAGAATACAAGACCGCATTTACATAAACATGTGTTCCTTCCAGCTATGGATGTAATGAAACTACAGAACACTAACAAAAATGGTGGTGCGTGTACAATTTACATAACATCTGAATCTGCAGAAGTGCCATTACCTCGACCTAGAAATCGAGAGATGCAGGCATTGCCTGAGTGTGAGTTCTCGGCAAGCATGTAAAGACAGAATAAGCATAATGCTGTTCCAACAAAATTCAAAAAAAAAAAAGGAAGAAGGTTAGTTATTGATAGAGAAAGATTGTCCATGAAATATTCAAATACTACCAATCAATCTATAATCCAGCACTGACAAATATAAGCACTCCACCATGTTAGAACAAAAGCGCAAGAAAGCTCTATCAAGGTAAAACACGATGCTATCAAATGAATAGACATCTTCTCAACCTCATGTTTCTAGTGATTTTCCCTGATTGTGCCCCTATGAGCTTGTATTTACAATTCAACGTATTGTCTCAAAACTACAGTCATCATTGAAATCACAGATCCACCTTGGTTTAAGCTTTTCAGTAGTATGGCTCAAACAAAGAGTTCCATATTCAGCATTCATGAACGGCAGCAACAAAGAACAATAGGGTGCATAAAGTCAATCCAAACAACAACAGATCATGAAAAGTATGAATATACCATAAAAGTGTGTGTACCGTTTTGCCGCACATAGATTTCTCCAGTGGAGTAATTAAGGCAGCCAAAAAGTAAAGGCAGTGAATAATCATACAAGGACTTCAAGCATGACTCCAACACAAACATGCCATGTCAATACTGTTTCTATATAAATATATTATTGAATAGAAAAGATATCGGTACAATAGGGAGGATAAGACATCTTTCAATGACTAAAAGAGCTGGACAGCAACTAATTAAACAAGATCCTTCCCATCCCTTCGCAAGTCAGATTTGGATACCCGAGAGAAACGCCCATATTTTTCTATCCAACATATTTTTCTTCCATTCATTTTTTCCCCTCCAAAGGAGAAGGGATATGGGAGGAGGCAAAGGAAGTGGATCTTCTGAGCATGCATTAACAACTTTCAACCCACTTATCAAAGAAACTTGATTAAAAAGACACAAGAAACTGCTCTTTGATGTATTCAATTCTCATTTTCTACACAACAACAGATGTAATTAAACAGAAATTGCAGATCTAAAAAAAGAAACTTGATCAATATGAAAAGATGAAGAACAAGATATTGAGCAAACCAATTGAGATTTCTTTCTGTTGTTTTATCTGTAAGGATGAACCAAAAATAATGTCATTTGCAAACAAATATGTATGGCATACATACCAGCATAAGCAACTGTGACCCCCGAGACCAATCGTCCCAAAGCTGATAGTATGTAAAGACAAATGATAACCTGGAAAGAAAGGCCAAGATTAGCATCCTGTTTGTTATATGCGATAAATCTGTAAGGAAAAAAACGATGGCCATTGTGGAGGCATGCTAGTGAAGAAAAAAAGGATCATTAATCAGGCTGGAGACAGGAAGCTTTTCTACAAGACTCTTCAAGAAGCTCCCAAATAAGCAAAGAATATCAGTCCGCGTAAATTGGAACATCAGAAGATTTAGCTAAGACTGCTAATTTTACACAATAAGTGGAAATACAAAAGAGAGAGGGAGAGCAGCATCAGTAAATTAAAACAATGAGAAAAACAAAAGATGCCACTAATAAACCCTTTCTCCTAATTATGGCAGAGATCATGATGATGGCACTTATTTTAAGCATGCCTCTATGAACAGTAGGGAGTATATTATTTGAGGAGAAGTAAACTAAACTCATCCCTAGTCTTCACTGCATTAATCTTCAGTGCAAAATCAAGAGAATAGTAAGAATGGAAATGAACCTATAATAGTTTTACTCAGAAACAAAAAGTTGTTCTCAGTATATCCCCTACATTAAATCCTAATCACAACATCTTGCAGTAGCATTCGCATGATGAACTCAAATTGAAACCCAATTTAGTAGTGGTGAGAAAAGAAAATGAAGTAAGTAATGGATGGATAACCTTGAAGAAAAGGCGCTTATCGTGACCAGTAGCAGCAACCCTGAGGACAGATTCAGCAGCTCCAATGGTGTTAGCAAACCATGCTATTATACTGTTTGCTGTGTCCTGTGATATCTGCCACTCCAATGGATCCACTGGCACCCTATTTTAATTGCAATTTCATCACAAATAAAGTAGCAATTCAATACAAGAAACAAGCAAAGAAAAAGAAAACCCTAAAATTAGAATTGGAAAAGAAAAAAGAAACAATTAAAGACGTACGAGATGTTCAATTGGCGGAAGAGAAGGCCGAGAATGGCGAGCGAGCAGAGGAGGACGATGAGGACATCGGACATCAAAGAGACAAGGCTCGAATTCCGATAGGCACAGTGGTAGTACACCAATGTTCCACTAACCAATCCTACCAACGCCTTCCCTATTCCCCCACCACCTCCTCCTCCTCCTCCTACCTTTCCCTTGCTATTATTGCTATCTATCATCATCACCTCTGCCTCTCTCTCTCTCTCTCTCTCTCTCTCGATTAATCACTCATCGTCTTCTTCCTTTCGAAGAGTTTCTTTTAAAAAAAATATTTCCTTTCTTTCCCCTTGTTCGTTTCCCTAACAATTCCCACTACAGGACCAGGAGCCTTTGACCACCCAGACTCTCTTTCTTTGACTTCAACATCTCTTTTGTTTTTTCCATTTTTTTTCCCCAACTGTCATCGTCTAAATTTCTTAATCACCTCTGATTTTTCATATATTAAGTCACGCCTAGATTGAAAAAAGACCTAATCATGTTTAATTTCTTTATATATTTCTAATGTCAAATTACACCTAACCATTTTATCAATTATAATAATCGAATTTTTTTTAAATCAATTAGTATAACTTTGATTGATTCTAATAACTAATCACGATATTTTAGATCTAACGATAATGATATGTTGATCGCATAAGATAAAAACAGCTATTTACAAAATTTTTTATATACATAAAAACTTGAATTCAAGAACGTTTCCTTAAACAACTAGAATCTGTTTCCTTAAACAACTAGAATCTCTTTCACCCGAGACTAATCCTTTTGGATAATAATTAAATTTTTTTAAATATACGATACCGTGTAAAAAAATCAAAGATCAAAGATCAACATTGAGCTTCATTTCTAAGAATAATTTAAATCAAATTTTGAAAAATAATTTAAATCAATTTACAAAAATCATACCATCAACCAACGAGGGAGGATGCTTGGCAAAAGCTGGAAATTGATTATGATCCGGTGGGGAAACAGGGCATAACTACCTACATAACTAAAGCTGCAACCTTTGACTAGCCTACTAATATTCATAACCTTACGTGAAGATAAAATTATCTTATATATATAAAAGATAATGTAGGGCAAAACATATCACAATCCTTCATCCCAGAAGAAAAATAAAAGAAGACAAGCTCAGCTTAATCAGTTTTCCCAAAAAAGACAAATTGGAGAACAATCATCATCAGAAATTTCTATACATAAATATACAATCAAAGGCATATATATATATATAATACATGTAATGTAACTGTTTATTAAATTTTGCAATCTCAACAGGCAACTGATTGCATAAGATACCCCTCCATCCCTCCCTCCTCCTGGCATACTTTTGCAAACATTAATTGCCCATTTCATGTTTTTTTTTTTTTTCTCTAATAATCCAGCACAAGGGACTGGTTCTTCCTCCAATGTTTCCATGCCTCCCACAAGCAGCATTCCCAAGCAGTTAGCTCCGGTGCCTTCTTCCAAACAATCAAGATTCAGATGTTTGGGGTTCTGCATCATAAACTGAGCATTAGCATCATCGACACCAATCCAGAACGATCCTTCCAGAACTAAAACCACAAGAAACTAGTGCTTTATTTAGTATGCAAAAGGTTGACACACCTTCGCTACATAGTTGCTCAAACCGAGCAACAATGTGCTTCCCGTAAGTGTATTTCTTAAGAGCATTAAGATGCGCATTTATACGAGTGAGCAGTATCTCCTTCTGTTTCTCATTGCTTGTTTCAAGTATCTTTTGGACCACATAATTGGCAAATTGGTCCTTCATCATTATCTAAATATAAGGCCAACATAAGACAATTAGTAAGCAGAAAAACAGAGTATAAAATCCTATCATATGGTGTCACCGACCATCATTGCCAACAATCAGACAAATTCTTGAATGACAACATTTTGAAGAATCAGTTAGATTATATTTCGGTTCATGACAGTCTTATTCACTTTGCAATTGTATTTGATGACAGTTCTCACCCTGGGATTCACCCTCCATACCTTTTTTTACCTTTTTAATAACCTCTACTTGGGAAAAATTGATAATCAACTTACACAGTTTATTAATCTCAAGGAAAAAATAAAGCCTACCATTTAGAATTCTAACAGCTCCAAATTCTGAATCCAATCCAAAAACCTCTCTTTAACAAGCACATGATTGATTAAACGTATTGCTTTAACTAAACTTCGACAATGGTAGATTTGGTTTTGAGGTGCGTCCAGCATAGCTGGTTCCACAATCAAAACAGGAAGATGGTTGTGCTAAGCTGACAGCAAACTAGTCATATCTATAATGAAATGGATCAAAACAAGATGAAAACAGTACATGTAGCCACCCACAACTATTAGAGGATTTTTTTTAAAAAAAGCTAAAATTGAAGCCCCCTTCAGTATAGTAGTAATCAGGGGATAACGCAACTAACAGCAATGAATAGCAGTGGTTCTCAAGTTAAGATGTTACTTATTTCTCCTTCTAACTTACCAACAAGTTGTCGTTTTCCTCAGACTGCCCAATGATCTCCCCAGTCATGAGCTCCCTTTCAGCAGCATCAGCATGCTCCATACACTTCTCAACAACATTTGATGCGTACTTATGCTGACTCATTTGTACAATTTTCCCAGTCAATTTGCTGATAATTTGGCTCCTTTCATGGGGCTTTCCCCTTTCCAAAACATGCTGCAATAGAAAAGTCAATCTTTAAAGGAAAAAAAAATGGAAATATTCAATAGATACGGGAGAGGAGAAGAAAACGAGAAATACAATACCATACAAATTTCTAAGCAACTAAGGTAATATTAAAACAAATTAAAACTTGGACCATCTGCACTAGCAAGACACAGTAAATACTTCCTCAAACTAATTAGCAAGCCGACAGAATAAACCAATAACTAGCCAAAACCTAACCAAAATTTTGCAACCATTTTTTCAAAAATGAAAAAAACAAAGAAACTTGTAATAAAACCGAAACAAATAGAATGAATACACTTGGCCATTTGTTGATTTGGACTAAAATCCCTTCTACACGTGCCGACCAAAAAAAAAAAGACACCAGTCCACAAGGAGCAGGTACGCACACCAAAAGAAAATTTTGCTACACGAAGTCAGGGTGAACTGATAAATTTAAATAACAATCAACATTTCAAATGCAAAACCTGGTACTTGCATCATCAAGCATGCTGTGCTGCGAAGAAAACAAACCTGGGTAACATAGTTACCATACTGGTCTTGAGCAAGAAGGTAGGAGGATTCTAAGATCTCATCAACTATACATTGACTTTGCTGCTCATCGGAACAATGCTCCAAAACTCTCTATCAGAAACCAAAAGCACAAAAAGTTCAAGCATGTTCAAGAAAATGATAAAGGAGATTACGTCCCCAGTAAACAGCGGCATTACCTGAATGACACGGCAACCATAGGGATGAGTTGACAGCGTGAAAACTTGGCCTCGAAAAGCAGAAATAATAAATTCAATACGCTCTGTGGGTACACATTCTATACACTTCTGTATTACATGATTCCCATTTTGATCACGTACACATCTCATAACATGCCCATCGAGCTCTTGTACTAGTTTTGTTTTCTGATCGAGCTCTATCACTTCAAGGGCCTAGAACAAGAAAATATATGATCATCTTTATAATCTAAGGTACTGTATTTGGGACAGCAACACCATTTATGTAAGATACCTAACATACCTTCTGAATTACACGACAACCATACATCTGCAAACTTAACTGCAACATCTGTCCAGAAAGTTTTTCTGCGAGCTCTCTTCTCTGTTCAGGACTTCCATGTTCAAAAAACTGTAATACAAAACACCAGGTTAAATAATCAATAAAAACGATTTTTATAAAAATCAAGAATCCATCAAGACAGTTGCAAAGAGAAAAAAGAGTCAAAGAAGGAAAAAATGCAACAGCGTACCTTTTGAATGACATAATTTCCAAACACATCTGTCATTAGTTTTGGAGCATGAGGAAGAACTTCTTTAAATACAGATTCCTTTTCCTCGACTTTGCAACGTTCCAGTTTTTGCTGAATAAATCGACTCCCATGTTGGTCGACACTGCAGTTAGCATACAACAAAAATTATTCTCAGTATTATTATTTATTCTTGGTATGACATAGCAATCAGAAAGAGATGCGAGAAACATACAGTTTAGACGCACCTGAATTCAACTATGCGCCCTGTTACATCAGAGAGTTCAAATTTTTGGGAATTGTTTGATTTCAGTTCTTCAAGAAAGTAATGCCTTTTAGGGTCATCAGCACTGCTAATTGCTCTCTGTTCTTGACCTCCGAAATATAATCCTGCATTTCTACTCGAACCTTGGGGAAATCTGTCGTTTCGCCGACCTAGATGATTGACTCCACCTACTGGAGATGATGGAAGCACTGGACTGGTAAGGGGTGAGGCTGGGAAATGGGTTATGACACCCATGCCAGGGGGGCTCCATAATAACTACCACCAGGAATCGTCATCTTTCCTGGACCAGGAATGCTTAAACTTCCATTTGTTGAAGGCAGAAGTTTCTGATCAGCCATATAAGCAGCAATTGCCAAGTCTTTCTGTGGAATGAAAGAATCAATCTGTGGCCCAGTAGCTCCACTTGATGCCAAGCGATTGTGATGAGGTGTAGCACTATATGCATCCCCAAATGGATGTTGATAAAGTTGCACATGAAGAGGGTCCACAAAAGAAGGTTGTAACATTAATCCTTGTTGTCCATAAAACTTGGCAAGATGTTGCAAGCTACCTATATGTGGAACTGCTGAAGCATCAGCAGATCGACCATCATTGCTCGGACCAGGCACACCACCAAATGACATAGGAATAGTGCTCTGAGATGGATACCCGGGCATATATGGGGAAATAAACGCAGAACCAACAGTATATCCACCCATACTATACTGTGAAGGGTATACACTAGATGGCTGGTAAAACGGAGTCCCTGCTGTCATATAAGCTGCTTGCGGTGCATAGACAGGAGAATGCAGTGATGGTTGTACCTCAATAGAAGAGAATTTAGGATAACCATGGGAAGGGTTTTCCATGCTACTGTGAGATAGATTTGATCCTTGAGAAATCACTTGAACCTGATGCAGAATGCCTTGCTGGCTGTATGAATGATGTTGTGGTATATTTCTTCCATAAGTTTGCTGCTCTTGTTTGTTTTTCATTCTTGACTCCATTCTGGAAGTACCTGATTGACGGGAACCTCTAATTGAAGCATCAACCTCAAAACCAGTACCTTTAGTGCTGGATTCACCTTTTGCCGGGTTGGTGTCCCATCACGACACGATGAAGTTGGCAAATCAGCACTTGCAGGATCATTAATGGATATTAACCTCAAAGCATCTACCTCCAGCCCATATGTATCAACACAAACATCAGAACCAGCATGTGATTCTGGTACTTTGGAAATGTTGGTAGAAGAAACATTCAATGGAATTGCATGGACATCATGATCAGTTCCTTCTGCTGCTGCAAGGCTTGAGGGGCGGGACTGGCTATATACAGGAGAAGGAGTGCGAGGGAAGTCTTCCTGCAAATTCACCAAATGGAAGGTAGGGGGTTGGAGGGCAATGGTTAGAGCAAAGCCACACACATCAGAAGCAAGAAATTAGTATATGAAATTTATATGATCTGGAAACAGTTATCTTACACATATACATGCAACGTTCTTTTATATATTACATGCAATGCTACATATAAGGCGTGAAAAAATTAAAAGAAAGAGCTGAACAAATTTCAAAAGCATAAACCAAGCATGAAAAACTAATGTGTCCCAGAAACTGAATCTCCCACACTTAATTCTGCACCTGTATCAAAACTCAGAAGATGCCAACTAAACCGGCAACGAAAACATCACCAATAGTGTCGAAGCAAGATGGCTGATAACATATCATACTTATCATGCCAAATCAGTAAAATCCAAGTGTCGTTTTCGTGAAAGAAGAAAGCCACATACCTGAATGAGATCCACCAAACTCTTATGTCGACCTGCCAAAGAAGTTGTGTTATCTCCAGATATATACACGCCACTATTTTCTGAAGATCCCCTATCATCATCTGGCTCCTCCTCATGAGTTGAAAGGGAACTTTTGGAATGTTGCAAGGATCCGTTGCCACTTTCAGGCCTCCAATTATTCCCAAAACCACCAACATGGCGTACCAGGCGGCGATTCTCCCGTGACAATAGTGGTGGAGGAAGCCTTGGATTCAAGTTGACATTCGAACAGTAGTATGCAAAATATGCTGGATCAGAGCGCAGTTGTTCCTCAGACTCACAATTTTCAATAACACTGCCTAAACTTTCCAAGCTAGAACTTGTGCTTAAGTTGTGTTGAGCTAAAAGGTTTCCGATAGCAGCAAATGACCCCTCCATACTTGGTGGTGCACTACCACTTCGACTAGGAATCATCTCAGTTTCATCTCCATGAAACCCCTGCCCCTTCAGAAGCAATCCCAATTCCTCTGATGCCATACTTCTTAAGGGTGATCCAAGTACAGCAGAATCCTTAGAACTGGACCACTTTCTAGCTCCACCACCCTCCACCATTCTCATGGGGCTCTCAGTTGCCATCCTTCTCAGACTTACAACCAACTCTTTTCTGATAAAAGAAGAAAGTTACATTATTTCTGCCAGTGCATCTAAGCCATGATGATCCAGTTCTGCAATGCAAGAAGTTAAAAATTTCTAACCATCTTAGAGATGACACAAGCCGGCCAGAGCCAGCAGGCATCTGACCAGCCAATCCCAATGACAAGTTACAGATGAACTCAGTCCTCCATGATTTGAAGTTGATTATTTTATGCAACTCCAACACATTTATAACTTGTACGATTCTACGATCTGAAATACTTTCTGCTATAAAGTTCAAATCTTGAGTTTCAAAACTAGCCAATTTCAAAAGAATTATGACAAAAAATACAAAAACAGCCCTTTTTTTTTTCAAATGAATGTATGTGGCTATGCCATTAAGAAACCATCAAAGCTCAAAATGTTCTCTTTCTACCCCCAACTGAAAACTCACGAAAACCACTTAATCCCAACAGACAATTAAGAATCCCCCGTTGAACAGAATTGCCAAACAACAACATTTATAAAAATCACAACTTTACCAACTAGCAAGACTCACAGTTAGGCATGAAAACCACCGAAAGAGCCAAATTAAAGGAAATAAAAGAAACCCTTTAACCTTAAGTCCACAAACTCCCTCTAAGTATAACTAAACAAATCAACGATCAAATTCAGTTATCACAAACATACAAAGCCAGCCATACATAAGGAAAGCACCAAGGAAGAGACAGACATACCAGTTGATAGAAACAGACCTAGCGAGTCAGAAACAAACCCTACCCCCAAGTCTGTTGGGTTCTGGTGTAAGCACACAAATGTTAGAGGAAGGAGGAGAGAGAGAGTTTGTTTTGGGTTGAAAACAACAAATTTCACTTTGCAAAGAAACCTCAGAGTTAGCCCCGAAGGCAGGATGAAGTTCAAGCCTTTCTTGGACTTCGTCTGTCCTGTCCCCTCCCCATTAATTAATTAATCATAATTTCATTTAATTGGCATAATTAGTCACCTTCTTTTCTAGTTTTATTATGTCAAAGGACGAAAATGCCACTAACCCTACTCTTTGTTGGGGGCTGGGTTGTGCTGTAATTTCATGGTGTGGTTTGGAGTAGTTTGGCCTTATGGAAGATAATTAAGGTGATGCTTCGAACACGTGTTTGTTTAGCAATTTTACAAGGAGAGAGATGTTGTTGACACGTGGCTGTCCGTGCTGAGTCAATTGGGTGCTTGTCCTGTAGGGCGTGTTTGGATTTATAACACCATTGTTGTTTCCATTTCGGCACTCCAAGAAAACGACTTGTAAGGAAATCCAGCAAAGATTTGTTTGTTTGGAAAATTTGTCGCAAGGAATTCAAGGTTGATTATCTTTATCTCCTGTCTTGTGATTGACAAATAGCCAAATAGATTACACTATTTTTATGTATCGAGATTGTTTTTCTATTCAGTTATTCTATTCTTGAAAAATTATTAAGTATTTTTACGACATAAATAGCCATTAAATGATGCCCACCATGCAATTATCAAAGAAGAGTGATTCTATGGTGACCCAACGACTATTTCCTTCCCTTCAATGCTTGTTGCTCCCAAAAAAAGAGCAAGAATCTTCCAAACATGGCCTTACGTTTTTGGTCCACGTGTCCATTTCCGATAACAGTGTCGTTCCTAAGCATCATTTTATCCTACTATGGAGGGATTAAAACAGTACCTCGATATGGATTTGGTCGGAAAGTTGCAAACACAATGACTAAATTGCCACAAATGGATAATGTTGTAGATCCAAAGCGTACGGTTTAAGCCAGAGCAACGTAGGGGTACATGTGTAATCTAGGGAGATTATGTTAATAGTAGTAATAATTATTATTAACATTAAAAGCGTACCGATAAAGCAAAAGAAATTGCTGACGTGACCAAATATAATTAAAAAGATGAATTCTATTTTCACTCCTACGGAATCGGCAATGTTCTACTCTGACTCTTATACTATGAAATTTCCCAGTGTCAACCTCAATGTTTCTAAGAGGTTCTTGTGCGGTCCCTAATTGTTAAATATATTCGGCTAAACGATTTACACTTTTTTGCTAAACTTTAAATCATTTGAAATCCAGTCTTTCAGCTTTTAATTTTAGATTAGACCTCCATCTAACTATTTTTTATTTAAAATTTGATATTTGATTAGGTTGCTCGTCAATTTTAATGTAGAAAGTACACGTAATTTATACGTAATTGATTTTTTTAACTTTTTTAATATTTAAAAATATGTCAAAACTTATAGATATTTTAATTTTTTTCCTTCAAAACTTGTTTCTTTCTTTTGAAAATGTTATTTAATTGCTAACTTCTTAACATTTAGGAGAAAACAAAAGAAGTTTTGAAATAAAAAGTAAAACATTTTTAAGTTTTGATGTTTCTTGAGTTGCTAAAAAATTGTAATTGCTTTATAGAATTGAAAAAAAAATAATATAAAGATGACTAATTGGAGGGAGATTTAATCCAAAATTAAAAACTAAATGACTGATTTTCAAATAACTTAAAATTCAAAAACTATTTAGACCGTTTGGACAATATCTAACATGACCTAACATGACAATTAAAGAACACTCATGGTTTTTAATTATTTTTTTTAATTTTTTTAAAAAATTTTGTTGTGTGTTATTATACAAATACAGAATTGGTAGAAAATATAAAAAAGCGAAAAAAAAAAAAAAAAAAAAAAAAAAAGGCAGGCGTGTTGGTAAGATCCGTTGGACATTTCACTGCCAGGAGCTACATATAAATGTTTTGGAAAGAATAAGGCTGAGATTGAGAGATTCTGAAGTATAGGAAGCTGAAATGAATGATTACTAAATCTCCAGGGGTGAAAAACATAATTTACCCTATAATAAACTCCCAACTCCCAAGAGCACTCAAATCATACGACGTTGATTCGGCTACTAGCTTTAGTCAACGACCTCTTTTCTTAATTAAATACGATGATAGCAAAAGGAAATTTAAATTCAAAAAAGTAATCGTGACGGTCAAATTAGTAAAACTAAAAATAATTAACTTATTTACACCACATGAAAGAATAGACCATAATTAGTCATTCATAATTAGCCATTTTTCAAAAAAAATTTATAATACTCAATTAGTAACTAATGATATGTATAATACTTATTCTATGAAACCATTTGAAAGAGAGAAATAGACACATAAAATTACATCCGGACACATTAAAAGTGATAAAAAAATTTTCACTTTCATTCAATTTTTTTAAATTTTCTTTTTATCTCTTTTCTTCAAATGAAACTATGTAGTAACTGTTGTATTAAACATTAATTATTCTTTAAATATTATAAAATTTCTCAACCATTTCTATCGTTGTTGCGACGGTCAGATTAGTAAAATTAGAAATAATAAACTTATTCATGCCTCATGAAAGAATGAGGCATAATTAGTCCTTCATTTTTATGGCGATGGTCAAATTAATCCCACGTCGCACATTTAATCGAAATCAATATAACCTGGGCAAGCACTCCACACAATTTGTATTAATTTAAGCATGAATTGAATTTAAATCCTTTTTCCAACTGCTTTAAGGACATAATTCAACACCAATCAAGTGTATTTAAAGAAACCGTTACTATTATTAAAATAATTTGCCTGAAAAGTCCTTTCTAATTTTATATGGGATGAATAGAAACAACGAAGACCATACAGGACACAGGTCAAGTGGAAGCTCACATCAGGGCGTCTTTTTGTTAACAGAAGGACCCATGAAGGTGAACAAAAAGACAGTGGGCAGGAACAACCTTCCAAAAGTGCCCAACACGCTGAAAAAGCCGAAAAGCCGAAAAGCCAAAAGCAAGAGAGTCAAACTCTTCTACTTCTCGTGGACCCAAGCTTTTGTTTTTAGCGAAGCACTTCTTTGTGTCATTTTTCAGGTTTTTCTAGCAGGGACTTCTACCACACGAAAGAATAAAGCGATATTTACAGAAATAAAGGTAGAATAAATTTAAAGGAATGGACAGCAATTGCTAATCACAAAATAGAGAGTGCTAATCTGCAACTCCAATATGGCTGAAGATAATGCAGCATCACTTCTACATTCTTGATCATCATTTCAGTCTTCAGTTTCATTAACAAGTGCAAAAGATTGCAGAAATCCCCTTCCACCATCATAAGATTTCTAAAACAAACCGTGCAGATCCATAGATAAGGAAGTAGTCTGATCAAAGTACCGTTACTGTAAGCAAACTACAAGCTATCTACTGATCTGAACATGAAAAGGGTGTTGTTCTGCAGCTAACCATCTAACCAACCCGTTTCCATCGTCTTTTCCTTACAGCTATCAACAAGGGAAAAGAATGGGAGAGGGATCTCTCTGCAACCTCCCGTTTGGCAAGTTTATCTTTTTCATCTTTTCTTCACACCAAAGCAACTGCTCTTTACTGATCCTTACCATCCTGAGAACCCTGGATAGAATTTTGGTATCAATGAGGCTAAACAAGAGTTGAACGTCCTCGTATGTTTGAGGCCAACATTTCTTCCGTCCTTTACTCTTCTTACACAGTTCCTTAATTTTCATCCTTTTCTGCAGATTCACAGGGAAAGATGAAAGTTAGTCATAACAGTTCAAAATATGATCAGCTCTTTCCAAAAACAAAAGGTAATTTGTTTTAGTAACTGAAGGTATAGGTCCCTTTCCTGTTATCCAATGCATTAAAGTATCCTTTGACATGAACTGGGTATATCTTTTTCTCTTGTAATAGCCCTCTATAATTTGCCTCTATCTGTGAGGTTAAATACAAACTAACCACATTTTCCATTGAAATTAAGATGACGTGGTCATGTATGATAATGTGAGGAACATAGAAGACTTTTCATGCATGCAAACAACAAAAGATTCATTCATGAAAAGCAGCATCAATGACAGCTCTCAATCAAAGGAACAACAATAGAATCAACAAAATGCCTTGTAGTGAACAAGCTAGAACTTTCTGTACTGAAGTCCAGCCACTCATTCTTTATAGTCCACAATCTATGTAATTAACCAGTAATATTTAACACTATCATATAAAGTAGAATGATATAAATCTTACCTTCTCAAATGAAGATTGAATTAGTTGAAGAGGGGTAGCAATCTGGTTCTGATTTCCAAACAAGTTACGTACATTACTTTGTTTTTTCTTGTCCACCTTCAGGAAAAAGTGGAAATTAAGGATCGAACTCTCAATTACCTTGAGAAGATCAGGGGCCAGGACCACATTATCTGATTCTATTTCTTCTGTATCTTTTTTATCCAAACCTGAACAGTTTCAGGGATTAAGATATTAAAAAAATGATCAAGGAAGAAACTCCAACAACTACTTACAAGTTCATTAAACAGAAATGTATAAGTCGGTTCATGGAACTAGATAAACTGAACTGTAGGTTTGGTTTAAACTAAACCCATGAATGATTGGATGAGTCAGATATATGCACCTTTTGCATTTGGAACCTGGAGCAGTTTAGGTAAGGCATTCCTTGCACGAGCATAAATTTCTGCTCTTAAACCCTGCTCGAAAGGCTCATTTTCAATAAACCTCTGCAATAAAACTTGGAATTGCTGAAACAGCTGAGCACCATGGCTGTAACAGGCAGGGTTTTCAGGTTGGCAGGAGATTTTTGAACCAGATGAGTGTATTGGCAGTGAAGCACCTCCCAAGTTAAGCAAAGTTGAGCGACGTATGCAGTTTCAATATCTTGATATGGATCATTCTGTACCTGCTGCAGATGCTCCGTTTCATCTTCAGGTTCTTCCATCTTTTTCAGAGAAAGGCAGCGGAAGGGTGATGACAGCTTCTTGGAAGCAGACCTTGGGGAGGGAGTTGTGGGAGTGTAGCATCCTGCAAGACAACAGAACATTTATTTCTGATGAAAACTAGAAAATTGTTTCATTGAACAGGAATCACCCTTTAGTAGCAGAAACTATTTTAAGAGGTTGGTAACCAAATTCTGCAGCTGGGAGTACAATGACAAACATACTTTTAGAACCTTAATTGAAAAAAAAAAACGGAGGGCACAAGAAGGGACTTGAGCAGCAATGGTATGTTAATGTTATATATAGGCAAACACTAAATACACTTGGAACATAAAAGCACTCAGAAATCCCAAAAACCAACATGCCAATTCTCATGATCTCATTAATGCTTCAGCTAGACTAATTCTAAATCAGACGACCCAAACATTTGTCAAAGAATTCAACATTCACATTGACAGATAACCTAAACAAACATCACTGAGCGAAAAAGCACAGAAAAAGCCCAAAACAATTGTGTCGCAGCACAAGTCTCCAAGAGAAGGCAGCAAGCCAGAATTCACACCACCAAGCATGCCAATTATCAATCAATTGCAATAAAAAATGTACAAATCAATCAAAAGGAACTGGATCGAAGTGTAGCAAAACTTACCAGATTCCTTAAGCTGCTGCACACTCATCCGATCAAAGAACAACATTCGCTCGCAGTACTGGTCATACAGAGCATCAAATCCTCCCCACCATTGCCTTCCTTCTGCTTCAACGTCCCTCCACTCATTTGAGCTTGTCTCACCTTCCGCCTCCTCATCTTCCTCATCTTCACCACATGACTCTTCTTCAGGAATCAACACCATAAAACTGTTCCTTCTCAGTTCCTTCAACCTCCTCTTTACCTCATTGGTTATAAAGTCGTCGTCGTCATCCTCAGCTTCAGCCAAAGGATCAGTGTTGGCTGATTTGTTCGTTACATTGTCACCACCCCCACCATTCTCATTCCTTGGCTCCTCTGGCTGTGGCACAGGCTTGTCCTCTAAATCCTTTTCTTGGTCTGGTTTGTGCGCTTTCCTAAACTTTTTCACTTTAAAGAAATCCATCTTCAACAAACCACTAATCTCTTCTTTCTTCAAAATCACACAAAAAAGAGAGAGAAGCTTGGAATAGATAAAAATGTTCTGATTCCAGGAACTTATTTTTTTCGTTTCTTCTATTATCTCAAATTTTTTAAAGGTACCAAAGTTAGATCCTCGGGTCAAAATGGTCCAAGCAGAATCTGATAAGAGATTCCCTAAAAATCTCAACAAACTTTCAGAATCTGAACTGCTTACTTCAAAAACCAGCGATCTAAAACCCAAGAGACGCACTGGCCAGATCAGCTCCAAACTTAGTGTCCCTCAACCAAAAATAACCACTTCGAAGAAAAGAAACAATAACCCAGAAATTTTAACAACTGAAGGCAACAGAAGTACAGTTTTTTACTCCCAACAAACACCAAATTTCTAGCAGTAAACCCTAATCTCCAAGCACATTCGCTTCACTATAACAAAGTTGAAAGCTTTCAAGTTTTGATCCTTTTTTTAAGCTTGAAATAGTAACATTTAGTAAGCCAAATAAACAAAACCAGCATTAGAAGAGAGAGAAAATCCCAAATACCCTCTTCAAATTTGGTGCTTGAGAAAGTATGTCAATGAAGCAAGACTCCACCGACATGCCAATAAAGACACCAACTTTAGAGCAGAAATTCAAGCATTTTTACCATTTCAGACCTCAAAAATCACAAATAACCAGCAGCATTATACTCATCTGCAACAACACCAAAGAAAGATTAAAAAAAAAATGGAAGCAAAAGCACGAAAAGACACACCTTTGAGCGATGATCACATCAAGAGGAAGCAAACGAAGCGATTTAGAGACAATGTAGAACCCTAACCAGGGTCTGTTTGCTTAATAAAACCCTAAACAATTGCACTGCAATCAGAGAGAGAGAGAGAGAGACAGAAGGGTTTGGAAATATCAAAAGGCTAAATAATAATAAATGAGTCATAAATGGCTTCGTTTTTTTAACTTTTATGGAATATATAAAAATAAGAGAAACCATTTCATTTTAAGAAAGCAAAACAGTGCTGCAATGGAGTAGTTTTGCTTTCTGTTGTTTCCTACAAAAATGGCAAAAATATAATTAAAAAAGGGGGTTATAGTACTAAAATTAAAAACTGCTCAAAACCCAAGATAGAAAAAAAATAATATTATTGATTTGCAATTTTCAATGAAAATTAAAATAACGAAGGAGCGCAGTGCTAGCTGGGGACCCGATGAGAAGGGAGAGAAGAGTGAAGAAGACACCGTACAGAGAATATGTCAGACTCCATGCTTAAGTACATGTACATCCTACAAAAAGCCGCGCTTTTTCCAGCACTACTGTTTTTTGATTTCTGAATCTTCCCCTCCCTCTCTCTCTCTCTTCACGTTTACTTAATTACCCTTATTCGTTTCCCAAATTCACTCTTTTCTCCCCTCAACCATTGTTCTCATTTCTTCACAGTCCATCCATGGCATGAATAAAATATAGGATTTATTAGTTCTACTAGTATATTATATATATATATATATAAAAAATGGTTGATGGTTAAATATGTGGTTAAGGTAATTTTTCATTCTGTTTTTTAATGTTTTTAATTAAATTAATTTTGTTTTTGAATATACATATATTAAGTATCTAATTTAGGATAAATTATTGAAATTAATCACATGATTAACATATAAGGCTATCTATTTGATTGGCCTATAAAGATTATTTTAAAAATAAAAATTTATAATGAGCAAATCACGTAAATAATTTTCATAATTTAACCTAAAAATCTTGACAAAATGATATATTAAAATATATATTTAATAATAAAATCGTAACAATTAAAAATAAAAAATAGATAGAAAAATTATCTTATTATATATAAAAATAGATTTAACTATTAATTCATAATAAATTCTTATGAATTTCTTAATATTTACATGGATCGTCCTGATTTAACAAATAAAAAATTAGTATTCTTCTAACACTACGTGTGATAAAACAAACAAGAGGATATTCAATATATATGATTACTCAAGACCTTGTACTCAAATGTTAAAAAATTTAATTTTATTAATAATTTTGGATATCTGAGTTAAAAAAAAAAAAAAAAGTATATATGATTATAAAAATATACTAAAAAGATAAAGTGATGGTCAAATTCATGCAATGCATGCACCCTTAGGAGGATCCAAGTGTCACGTGCCAGCGCCACACATACACATGTATTGCATGAGACGAAACATGATACACACGATGTCCTTTTTTTTTTTTCAAGTAAATTATGGATTCACCTTTTATTTTTTAAAAACAAATTAATTAATTTTTTATTTTAAAAATTAATATTTAATTTCTTAACAAGCATCAATCATGTTCAATTTAATATTATTTTATTTTTAAAATAAGTTATTTTTTCTCATCAGTCATCACTCCTTTCTTAATTTTTACATTTTTTTATATATTTCTTAAGACAAAAAAATAAAAAAATTACATCAAAATTTAAAAATAACTCTAGTTTATTTAATTATTATATAATAATAAATAAAAACTACTCTTCACTGTGCAGTTTAAAATCCACAAACCTCCTCCTCACGAACCAAAAAAAAAAAAAAAAAAAACCTTGCCGCTATTGTAGGAATTGAAAACTTTATATCGAACACTAAAAATCAAACAAAAATTTCAAAAAACATTAATGTCTTCTCTTGTACATTTTGTATGACCTTCAACTTTCTACTTCAGTCAATCCCAAAAGTTTTCCAAGTCTTTCCCCCTTGCATGTTCAAATCTCCATCCTGTACTTGTTTTGCAGACTGGAACTATGCTTCATCTTAACACAATTAAACTTATGACATTTCTAAAGGTTACATACAATACTCATATGCATGGACAGTTTGGTCCTGAAAAAGCTAGGCGATTCGAAGCAAAGTGATCTACTAGTAACCCAACCAAGTAGATGGTATTGGCTGAAACTTGTTCTTTGCACAAGCCAGTACATCGTAATAATCTGCGTGATTGAAACAGTCACGGAAATCAGTGAAGAGCTTTTCAAACACCTTCCATTGCACTTTAATGGATTTTGTATATGGATATGGAAGAAAAACCTGCAGAATAATAGAAGTGCACTTTAATGGATTTTGTATATGGATATGGAAGAAAAACCTGCAGAATAATAGAAGTTAGAACAGATCAAACTAGAACCGCAACTCCACAAGCACACACATGCGTGTAAGCAATGGTTTCGAGTATCTGGAAAGTAAAACTAACAGTCTGCTTATAAGGTAAATTAACAGAATTTTCAGAATTGCAACTCACGTCACCCTCTAGCGCAAGACGTTTCAGTAAGAGAAATGTATGCTCGTTGTCCTCCAAATTGTCGAGAACAGCAAGCCAAATTTGTGAAGCAAGCTCATGGGCAGTATCCCTTGATTTCCCACAAGCAATAAACTGATCTGCTAAAACAAAGTCATCTGCAGTCAAGAGTGTGTACTCATGAAACTGCTTCTAGTCACTACACAGATTTAACAGCTACACAGCATTTATAATTTTATATGATAAGAAGAGCTCAAATCATTTAATCTGTATACAAATTTTTGGTTTCAATAGCTCTACAACTCGAGCATCTAGATAGGGTTTCACTTACGGGTACAGTGGCTCCAAAAATGCAGCATTCAAGAGAATCAAGACAGGCACAGTGGCTACATAGCAATAAACATTATACATAACAATTTAGCATACATGTGTAATCATATAACTGCAGATATGGGAAATCACGACTCCATCGCAATCAGTTAAAACTTTTTTAGGTGTTCATATGAGTATCTGAATAGCTTCCCAATCGGATAATATGGGACATGTCCTGCTTGTATTAGGAAGATAGCGAATCATATCCTCAACTTATGAATGAAAGGAATTAGATAGTTCATAAATTGAAAAGGTTAACAGGGACAGAGAGGCAAGTAGAGAGCACACCTATTATGGTTCCATGAAGTATGCCAGAAGGAAGTGGCATTGCAGAAAGTTCAAGTTGCTCTTTGAGAAACAAATAAGCATGGCCAACAATCTCATCTATCTCGCCATCCAGAGCAAATATGTGTTTGCTAACATATAAAGCTTTGTACCTCCTGAAAAAAAATATCTTTGAGTTAGAACAGCATACAACTACTTGACAGCCAGCCAGACCTCTAATATTATGCCAAGAAGAGAGTATTAAGTTAGTTAATAACAAATTTGCCATCAGACATTGATCATTTCCCAAGGGTGTTATAAGCAATAAATTATAGGTTTAGACAGAGTCCCAATTATGTGATTGCTTTATTAAGACAAGAACGAATAACATAATCAAGAATAAAAGAAAATGAAAGTAACAGTAACAGAAGAAAGGAAAGCAAAAGGTGGAATTAGAGATGTTTAAACTTGCCTTCTGCTCAATCCTCGCGGTATAGGCCCAGGCCATCTTTTAGTTTGGTGAGCAAGAGGATAGGTTCTGCTAAGAGCAGCTTGCCACAAGCATTCTCCACGAAACACATTAGCCCATTGCCTTTTAACACAAGATATTTGAGCCCACTCTGATATAGGGACTCTGACAAAAATCTCTATGAGCAGATGATCAGGCAGCTTTCCGAATGGAGTATGATTTACTATAGTGTTATTTTCAACAGTATCTGTCATTAGAAGTCTGCAAACAATGACCCAGCTATTGAGTTTAAGACAAGAATTAAATGAGAAGAGTCATCGAGCCAAGAAATTCATATCATCCAGCCAAGAAATTCTCAAGTAATTTCCACTACTTGCTTGAGATGAAGAAAATACAGCTATCCAAATCAAACTTCATGCTATGATTCCAATTCAGTTTATGCAATCATTAGTGCCGACGATTGCCCTTTTTTCTGAAATTTCCCTATGTTAAATTCAAAAATACTATTTGAATCGTCATATTCAACAACACTTTTGATTCAAGTGCCCACAAAACAGTGATGCCATAACAAACTCAACTCTGCAAAACTGGAAATACAGGCCACTCAATCTAGAAGGGGCAAAAAAAAAAAAAAAAGCAATTCTAGTGATTTAGGTTGTCAAGGCACAACGCTGCTTAAGTATTGTGACAGATTAAAGGAAAAATTATATCATCAATAGCATCCAGCTATGACCCATAGCTTATCCAATAGACCCCGCTATGCTGTCTCAATTTGATTGGGATTAAAAGTTAAAGATTAACACTTCTATTTTCTTTATGGATAACTTGAACAAGAGCCCACACAAACTAAATAACATTTGATACCAAAAGGCAGAGACTTTTGCTTACCAATTCAATAAACTAGCTGATTTAGTACTGACAAAAAAACAAACACTAAACCAACCATAAACCCCAAGTAAGATTAGTACGAATCATTTCAAATTTGCCGAATTTACACAGTATAGAATTCAGAAGAAAAGGAAGTGAATGAAGAGTTCACTTCTTTTCCAGCTCAAGTATATAAAGAAGAGAACTTGTATGTTCGCTAAGAAGAGAGAGGAATTACCAGAAAGAGCGAGAAAGGGAGAGAGCGGCCTCCTTTAGCTTTGTTCAACCGCAACAACAGAGATAAAGAATACGAAAGACAATAAAGAAGACAAGGTAGCTATGTTCGATGTGATTATGTGAGGCCTTAGTTGTTTCCACCAATAAAAGATCAAAAATTTAATAAGAAAAGAATATGTGTAACGTCATAGTCATGCTGATGCAATTACTCCTTTTTTCGTTCAAGAAAATTAATGTTCATTAACCATTTTACATTTAAAATTACCATAACTGTTTAATACATGGGTGATCTGAATTTTTTAGGTCTTTTTGAGGTCACTTTGCAGTGTCAAAGATCCCAAAAGGCCTAGACTTTATCGTGACAAAAATTAAAATGGCCAAGACTTTTAAGGTCTTTTTAGATCATCACAAAATTCTAATGGCTAAATGAAAAACAATATACAAAGCAAGGAAAAAAATTGATCTCAAAATTACAAGAATTTTTTTCTGTTGAGCACTTTGTTCAAGAGGGATTCTCGTCCAGGAAATGGACTATTATTCTCCACCTTCCAATCTTGATGATCAACACTCCCTGGTTTTGATCCCTCAAGCCTAATCCCACCATCACCATCAACCCCATTTACAAAACCATCCTTACTCTTCATTACAATCCCAATCTTATCCTTCCTTACCCCCACTTGTTTCTTCAACTTGGCCCTTTCTCTTCTCTCCCTCCTCCTATCTTCACTCTCTGATAAAACCTTATGATTATTCTCTCCATCCTCCAACCTCGAAAAACCTTTCTCTTCTTTAACACCACCACTGGAGGAAGATGATCTTCTTGGTATTTTTCCACCTTTAGTAGTACCCAAAAGCTCAAAGTTGACTCTACCCCACCCAGCCTTATCTTCATTATCCCAACCAAACCTCTCACTTATCTCCAACAATCTTGACACTGCACTATCATCCTCGTCATTTCTTGACAAAAAAGAAGAAGAAGAACCGCTGATTGCATTACTATTCTTACTGTTGGTTCCCTTTAAAACAGCATCAGCAAATTCCCACTCTACTCTGTCCTTGTAAACTGGATCTTGAAGCACTTGGTCGGCTAACTTAGCCCAGTGCTCAAAGTCACCAGCACGAAGATTCTTGGAAACCCATTTCAAGTAAGTAGATGGTAGAGTGCCTAGCATCTTGCCCTTGTACTTGCCAAAGTCTAACACTCGGTCTGTTATTGGAGTTGTGGGGATTTTGAGTGGTTTACTGGGTGGCCAATTAGCACTGTGTGGCCTGTTGGGCTTGAAAGAGCATGTGAAGTTAGGAAATGTGGAGGAGTACTGCGCTAAGGTCATGGAGGAGGCTGAAAGCAAAGATTCAAACTTTTAGCTTGAGCTTGTAAGAGATGAGAATTGAGAAGCAATTGAATTGCTATAGAGAGAGAGACATACGGAGACCAACCTTACAGTATCGGTGGACCTATATTTAGTGGGTATACAATAAAAAAATATATATATATATATATATATATATATATATATATATATTCCGTAGACTAACAAAAAGATTTAAATTTAAATTAAATATAGTTTAAGGAGGTTCGGTCTCAGATGTGAATTTGAGAAATTAATTCTTAAAGGAGTTAAATATAGTTCAAGAAAGTAATATTTCAAATTAAAAATTAAAATGATTAATTCTCAAATGAATTAAGGTGTGTTTGGTATAATTAAGTACTTGTATTTTTTTATTTTTTTTTAACCACCTTGTATTTGTAAAGAGTAAATTGTAAGTTAGGTGGTGTTTGATAAAACTGAAAATTAAGTGTTGAATCTATTAAATACTGAATTTTAAGTGTTGAATCTGTTAAGTATTGAATATGTTCCGACGAGCTATTTGGTATTTACCGAAAATTAAGTATCGAATATAATAAGCTCTATTTGAAGATGATAGAATATATATGATATTTTTTAAGATTTTTGTTTGAACATATGTATCCGATTATATTATTCTTATTATTTAAAATTTATTTTTTTAATTATTTTTTTCTCACTAAAATTCTCATCAAATTAATTTTTGATATAATTTTATTTGTTAATAAATTTGATTTTTTAATATATGAATTTTGAAATAAAATTTTATAACGTCGATGTTTTATTTTTTAAAAATATATTATTATAATTTATATATATATATATATATAGAGAGAGAGAGAGAGAGAGAGAGTATGTTTTAGATAGTTTGACTTAATCGGATAAGTTAAAAATTTTAACTTATCTGATTAAGTAGATTTTAACTGAACTTAAAGTTTTAATATGAGATCATTTAAGTTATCAAACAAGATTTTTATATTAAGTAGTACAACTTAATTTTTTAAGCTACTTAATTAGGTTATCAAACACCCCCTTAGTTTCTTTAGTTTTTTAAAATATATATATTAAATAATTATTCTAGTTTTAATTTTTAAATCTATTTATTCTTAATTTTTTTATTCTTTTTCAATTTATTTTATTTTTTGTTTAAAAAAGATAAAAATAATAAAGGATGGATAAGAAAAAAAATTGACACAAAGTACTATTATATTTAAAAATAATTATCGCGGGTTAAAAAAGTAATTAATTAAATCTAAAACAAAAATTACTATTTAATTCGTTTTGTAAAAACTAAAATAATTAATTTAAAATTTACTCCATTTGTAAATTGGGCAGCACGGGTTGTTCGTGACTTCGTGTATTTGAATTTGGAAATGAATAAAATAAAGGATAGGATAGGATAGAAAAGTTTGGGCTCGTTCCCCCTCGCTAGGGAGTTGGCCACCCTATCTTGGGCTTCAGGACCATGGGCTATTTTCCAAGAGCTAAGGCATCTCGCTTCATCAGCTAGCTAATTGAATTTGGGAAAACTACATCCATTTTGATCCTTTTCTTGAACTTTCTTAATTGAGGAAATCATTTTTTTTTTTTTGTTGTTTTGGTATATCAATTTATTTTTAAAATACCAATCAAATTTTTTTATTCAATTTTTTGACTAGTAATGATGCGGCAATTAATAGAGAAGACTAAATAATTATGTTGTCCTTTTATTTTTCTTTTTTCTTCCCAAATTGTTATTATTGTTTAATTATTAATTAAAATTAAAAAAATATATTTATTATTTTGAGAATATATATATATATATATATATATATATATATATATATAATTAACTAAATTATTTAATTAATTTTTATGCACAGATTAAAGAAATACAATGAAAAAAGCATACTAGCAATATCCTACCATGTCATAATGTTGATTCTCCACTGACCATAGCATAGCATATTGTAACTGATTCGCTGAATTTCTCAATATCCCAGATTTTGCGCAGCGTTACATACATAATAATGCTTCTGCGGTCTCAAGCAGTTACTGAACATGCAGGCACCATCCTTGGACCGCAACTATCAATTCTGTTATTTCAAAGCAGCTGCAACTATATATTTCTCAACCTCTTCACGTTATGCAAATTAATTTTACGCGTATTTACATGAAAACTCTGTTTTATAATTTAGCTCTTGGGAAAAAATAATACATATTTTTACCTTTTTCGTGGACAAAAATTTTATATTAAGGAAATGATGAAATCAAGCATCTAGTATGGTTTTTTTTTTTTTTAATAACAAAGACATATCTGGATAAGTTTTTATATCAATCAAAACGAATTTTTCTTTAAACGATTTTAAAAATACATCATTCACATTGACATAATATATTTAAAAAAATTTAATAAATTTTTTAAATATTTCTTTAACCATCATACCTCTCTTTAGAATTATCTTATGTGTTCTTCAATATAATTATTAGTAACATAAATAAATATAGTTCCACGCTTGTTGTTAATTTTTATGTACTGTATTTTATATCAAAAAATTGTAAATTCAAAATTATCTTTTAAGATTTTTTTTTTTTTTTTTTTTTAAAGTTCCTCGAGAGCTCTATAAGCTTTGGAACTTCATTTTCTATATATTTTCTAATATCTAATAACTAAATAAACTAAAATAGTTAAAACTCGAATCTGCTTTTCTAAAAAAAATTATCCAGTACGTACACAACTACTAAACTATATCTACTTATATATTATCTATTTTTTTATTCTTTGGTGATTCATTTGGTAGGTGAAATTAAAAAATAGATCTTCCCCGCCACTGATTGGCCCTGCCTATATTAACCTAACAACCTATAATCTTCCACCTTGTTTTTGAAAGTCAATTGCTTCATTTTGTATTCAATATATATATATATATATATATATATATGAATAAATTAGAAATTAGTCCCTTCAGTTTTGATAAATGAATTAATTGATCTTATTTGTTTTAAAAATTAATTATTTAATTTCTTAACTAGTATTGACCAAACATAATTAATAGTGTTTTATTTTTTAAAAGAATCTTATTTCTTATTGATCTTTCTATAATATCTATATTTTTTCTTTTTTCTATTTCAAAAAATAGAAAAGGACATAAAATAAACAAAAAAGACTAAACAATTACTTTTTGAAGCAGAAGGAACCAATTTTTTTTTTTCAAAATTAGAAGGACTAATTTATAATTTGGCTATATAATAGATAGGATACAAAATGGAGCAATTGACTCTTGTATCCTATAAATACATCTGATCTGATCATCCCGTGATGAGATCCATTCCTCTGCATTCGTTTTCTCTTACACCTCTTTATTTTGCTTCATGGTCAGTATCTATCTTCTTCAATGGCATGCAGATTCAAGCCTAAGATGCTATACTATAATGTTTTGTTGATGTTTTTCTACTTATTCTCACCTTCGGTTCATGGAGAACATACACCACAAGTGCCATGCTACTTCATTTTTGGAGCTTCTTCATACGATAACGGCAATAATAATGACCTTGCAACAACAGTTAAAGCCAATTATCCACCTTATGGGGTAGACTTTCCTCAAGGAGCCACAGGAAGGTTTTGTAATGGTCGCACCACAGCTGATCTTCTAGGTCTCCTCTCTCTCTCTCTCTCTCTCTCTCTCTCTCTCTCTCTCTCTATATATATATATATATATATATATATATATTCACTTGCAGAGTTGAGATTTTTCTGCTATAAAGGTTGCAAGATAGATTTTATTACCGTTATTGATATATATATATATAAGCCTTTTTCTTGCAGCTGAATTTCTAGGATTCAATAATTACATCCCATCCTTTGCAACAGCAAGAGGTTGGGATATGCTTAGAGGTGTTAATTATGCATCTGCTGGTTCTGGAATTCGAAATGAAACCGGACAGAATCTGGTAATTTCTTATAATTTCACAAACATAAAATATTTTTAATTAAAAAATATACATGCAAGCTATTGTTATTTATATTAGATAATAGAGGTGGTGGTTTTTACTGATTTGTCACGTACAGGGAGATCGAATTAGCATGGATGGTCAACTACAAAATCACCAAATTACAGTGTCAAGGATTAAGGAGATTATAAGAGACAAAAACCTAGCAGCTAAGCACCTAAGCAAATGCCTGTATTCGGTTGGAATGGGCACAAATGATTATATAAACAACTACTTCAGGCCAGAATTATACCCAACAAGTCGCCTGTATACGCCTGAACAGTATGCCGCTGTACTTAACCAACAATTTTCTCAGCAATTAAAGGTACTAATTATATACTAATCCTTTCTTATTCGATATGGTACCATTTCTTGTTATTTAAATAGATTAATAGCTCAATTTGTCTTTATAAATATTCTTTAACATGTCATTATATTTCTAATTGAGTAATTTTCTAATCTATTTTTTTGCCAAAGTTTTCAAACTAAACAACCGAAATTAATAATATGATTTGCATATGACTTTTTTTTTTAATTTTGAAAATGCCTTTGTAAGCCAAATAAATAAAATGTTTTCATATGCAGAATACATTACTAATTCCAGTGATATAGCTTGAAAATTTTGTCATAGTGATATATGAGAAACTTAATCCATATTTACAATTAAAAATATAAAGACAAATTAGATAATTATCCCATGAAGACAAATTAATTGAGCCATTCACTGTATTTAAAATTAAGTCAAGGATTAATTTCTAGATTAACTAGAATTAAATTCCTTGTTTGGCATTTATATCTTTGTATACATTAGACTTTGTACAACTATGGAGCAAGGAAGGTGATCCTATTTGGAATACCTCCGATTGGTTGTGCTCCGGCGATTCTAGCTGCAGCCGGCACAAATGGTTCTTCTTCTTCTTCGTGTGTAGACCGGGTTAACAATGCAGTCCAGCTTTTTAACACCGGACTTCGTTCGCTTGTGGATGACCTCAACAGCAATCTAACCGGAGCAAAATTTATATTTGTGAACGCATATCAGATATATTCCTCTTCCTCTTCAGGTAATTGAAAAAATTAATGTTATAATTAATTAATTGTTGGAACAAATATATATTTAGACTGATTAATTTGGTGACCAATGACTCAGGCTTTAGAGTCAGAAATGCTCCATGCTGTGCAGTATCAACTACAGGAGGACTATGTATTCCATCCAGTAGTCCTTGTGGTAATAGGAGTGAGTATTTATGGTGGGATGCAATTCATCAATCTGAGGCATCCAATATGATAACAGCAACAAGATCGTATATTTCTCAATCTCCCTTCGATACTTACCCTATCGATATTAGCCACCTAGCTCGGCTTCCAGTGTATTAAAAAAATAATATATATATATATATATATATCGCAAAGATGGGAAATCGAGGGAATAATTAATAATGTAAGCATTATTTATTTTCCATGAAAGAATTGCTAGCACTTCAGATTGTTGTTAGTGGCACAAATTTAAGGCACGACGCCATGCTTAAATGTTTTCGTATAACGTAGTAAAATGTTTTTCCTGTACATTACTTCATGGCATCAATCTTCTTCTTCTTTATCATGAGTGGAAATTCCCCTAACTGTATACTTCAATTGAATTAAAAAAGAAAAGCAAAGTAGACCTACTTTGCTTTTCTTTAAAAAAATTTGCTTTTTTAAAAAATTAATAATTAAACAATAATAACAATTTGAGATGAACAAAATATATAATTATTTAGTCTTCTTTCTTAACTATCACATCGTTATTGAATAAAAAATTGAACAAAAAAGTTTGATTGATATTTCAAAAAAATTGATATAACGAAATAAATAAAAAATTAATATATTTAATTGAGAAAAAAAATTAAATTAATATACTTATTATATATTTTTTTTATTGAATTTAAGACGGGTCCTCTTTGTTCTTTGGCGCTCTCGTTCACCGCTTCTGGTAAAAGTATGTTTACAGGTGGGGGTTTTTGATAACATAATTGTCGGTGCTCTGCCAAATATCGAACGCTACATGTGAACACATTTAAATAAAACAAAATCATTATGATTGGATGGTGGTCGCTATGCTATAAATCTGCTAAAATACATAAAATAAAATAAAAATTACCTAATTTTATAATTTTTTATCAAATTTTTGTATTTAATTATTTCTTTCTTATTTTTAAAAAGATTTCCTTCTTAAAAAAAACAGGATTTTTTTTTATACATGAATTCTTAAATAAAAATGTATAATAATTTAAAATGGAAGATTTGATTTACAGGAAATCCTAAAAAAATATGTATAAATTTAATTATTTATTTTATAAGAATGTATCAAGAAAGTAAAGCAACAATTAATTTAAAAAATTACATCAAAATAAGATTTAAAATATTTTTCTTATGATATTGATGAGAAGATTAATTTTTTAATATATATATATATATTTTCGAGATAATAAATAACATGAGCATAAAAACTCTATTTAAAAAATATGGTACAGTCAGGTGTTGTTTTTAAAATATAATTTTTATTATTTTATTTGAGGGAGTTGGTTTCAAAATATTCATTTTAAAAAAAGTAAATATTAAGTGGATTTTGTGTATATGTACAATCAATTTGTAATTAAAAAACCTATAAAATTAATTTTGGTCTTTAATTATTTATAAATAGTATAATAACAATTTTATTAAACTTTTATTACTCGAATATTTGTTCAAGTGAATTGCTCATAGAACAAATAAAATAAAGCACACAAAATCAATACGTAGAAAAAATTAAATTTCTTCAAAAACAAGTTAAATCATCAAATAAGTAATTTTTTTGAAATAAAGCATAAAAATATCTTTACTCTACAACTTTAGGCAAGAAAATACAATCATCGTATTATATTCTAAAATTATTTTGCATTGATTTTTAATAAATCAATAGCTGCACTAACTGTTTTAGTTTTGTCTATAGTCAATTTTAAATTTAATTATTATTTATAAGCATTGCTTACTGTTGCTTTTCTGGAGGCCATGTATACGGTATATCTAATTTTTTGTATTCGAGATAAATTTTTTTTACAATGCATTTTTTTTATATAGCCAACCGTGATGATATTTATCAAAAAAGAATCACATGCAAACAATGAAGAAAGAGATTATTGAATTATAGAGTAACTCATAAATTAGTCTCTCTTGTTTAGACAGAATTGATTAATCCTTTTGGTTTTAAAAAGTAATTATTTAATTCTTTTTATCTACAACTATTTTTTAAAAAATGTCTTTTCTTCTTATCAATGTTTTATATTTTTACTTATTTTCTATTCCTTTTCTTTTTTTTTAAATAAAAATAAATTATAAATTATATAAAAAATTAAAATATTAGTTTTTAAAATCAGAGAGACTAATTAACTCGTTTTGAGGGACTGGTTTATAATTTATCCTTGAATAGCAAGTAGAAAAGGAGCATTAAATGCCTTGTCTCAAAGGAAAAGGAAATGACGGAAAATGGTCGAGGAAGTAAACTAAAAAGAGAATCAATGAAGGACAAATTTGACATTCTACAAATCTAGTAAATGGTAATGATTAAAATTAAGAGTAAAAAAAAATGGCATATATAAGGCAATAAAATAAGGAGAAAGAAATGACGAAAAAAAAGACTAAAGAAGAAAATTAAAAAGAGAATCAATCAAGAATGTGTGTGAAATTTCATAAATCCACTAAAAAACAATAGCTGAAATTTAAAAGTGAAGAGAAGGGCATTTATAACCAAAAAAAAAAAAAAAAAAACCCCACTCTGTTCATGAACAAGAAAAACACCACCTCGTGTTTTTTTTTTATAATGACCTATAAAAATAATAGTTTATCAATTAAAAATGATACAATTGATGAAGAGCAAATAATATTAACAAAGTATAAGTTGAAGGCAGGTGTGCGGATGTGCGAATGTAAGAGTTTTTAAACAAGAGAGTTTAAAGGTTTTTCGTATAACTAAAAAAAGTTAAAATTATTTCGAGTTGATATTTATTAAAAAAAATGAAAATAACACTTGATAGTTAGAATTGTGTCATGTTATCCATGTTTAGATGGTAAAATTTGATTTAATGTTGCTAATAAATGGATTAAAAAAATATGCTCTTTTGGGTTAAAATAATTCAACTTGATAATAAATATTAAAAAAAAAAACCAATTAGTTCCTTTTTAGCACATTTTTTTTAACCAACCAAGTTAATTTTTTAAAAAATATCCTTTTAGAATATTTATATTCATCTTCATTCATTGTGCAACTTAACATATATATATATATATATATGTTATTACATTCTCCCTCCTCTCATGTTGGAGTTTCTATTTTTTTAATAAAAGAAGAAAAAAATCTGAAGTGAGGTATTTTCTTCTGAGATGTTTCCTGTTAAGAATATATACATTTAGAGAAAATTAGCATAATGGAAGAAATGGGTTTATCTTTTCCACTGAACATTGGCAGAAATGATGTGATATGCAAGTCAGGCAGCCAATTTGAGACATGGTTTTTCCAAGAAAAGTGATGACTTCTTCTCATGAACGGAGTAAACAATCTTGCTACCACCATCCACGGCTGTAGCCACTGTATAAAATGTTAATGAAATGCCATTCCGTCAAATTTATAGCTCTTTTCCGTCTCATCCACGGCTGAATGACAATGAAATGCCATCCGCAGCATCTTGCCTTCTTATCAATTACCTCTTTGTTTACCCAAATATTGGAGTGATCCAGATCGCAAGCAACCTTTTACCTATTGTAAATCTTTCTTTTTTTTTTTTTTTTTGTCCTTTTTAATGATGGTTTTTATGTACTATATTTTATATCAAAAAATAGTAAACTCAAAATTATCTTTTAAGATTTTTTTTTTTCGTTCCTCGATAGCTTTGTAGGCTTTGGAACTATACGATACATATAGTCATTTTCTAATTGGCCCTGCCTATAATATCCCACCTTGTTTTTCAAGAGTCAATTGCTCCATTTTGTATTCAATATGTATATATGAATAAATTAGAAATTAGTCCCTGTAATGTTGATAAATGAATTAATTGATCTTATTTGTTTTAAAAACTAACTATTTAACTTCTTAACTAGTATTGACCAAACATAATTAATAGAGTTTTATTAAAAAAAATTCTTATATTTTATCAATCTTTCTATAATATCTATATATATTTTTTATTTTTTTCTACTTAAAAAATAGAAAAAAACATAAAATAAATAAAAAAGACTAAACAATTACTTTTTGAAGCAGAAGGAACTGATTTTTTTTTTCAAAATTAGTAGGACTAATTTATAATTTACATATATAATAGATAGGATACAAAATGAAGCAATCGACTCTTGTATCCTGTATATACATCTGATCTGATCATCCCATGATCATGAGATCCATTCCTCTGCCTTCATTTTCTCTTACACCTCTTCGTTTTGCTTCATGGTCAGTATCTATCTTCCTCGATGGCATGCAGATTCAAGCCTAAGATGTTATACTATAGTGTTTTGTTGATGTTTTTCTACTCATTCTCACCTTGCGTTCATGGAGAACATACACCACAAGTGCCATGCTACTTCATTTTTGGATCTTCTGCATACGATAGCGGCAATAATAATGAACTTTCGACAATAGCTAAAGCCAATTATCCACCTTATGGGGTAGATTTTCCCCAAGGAGCCACAGGAAGGTTTTGTAATGGTCGCAACACAGCTGATTTTCTAGGTCTCCTCTTAATTTCTTTTATATATATATTGAATTTTTTGGATCATAAAAAAGGAAAATTTATTTACCACTTGAAGATGAAGCAATAAGAAAAATATTTTCAACTCATCGAGTTAATGATTCGATTTATACTTTTTAATAGATTATTCTCATCAAATTTTTTTTTTTTTTAAGCATTAGACACGGTTCGTTGGTGAACTCAAAGAGTTAACATTTAGAATCTACTATTATTATCATAGTTTAATTTTTATTAAATCAACTTTAATCCAAAACATGATAGAATTCTTTTTAGACTTACCTTATCGTTCATACGATAGTATTTTTTTTAGATACACTTGTAGAGTTGAGATTTTTCTCTGCTGTAAAGGTTTTAATTATGCATCTGCTGGTTCTGGAATTCGAAATGAAACCGGGCAAGATCTGGTAATTTCTTATAATTTCAAAAACATAACAAATTTTTAATTAATATATATATATATATATAGAGCTATTGTTATTTATATTAGATAATAGAGGTAGTGGTTGTTACTGATTTATCACATACAGGGAGGGAGAATTAGCATGGATAGTCAACTACAAAATCACCAAATTACAGTGTCAAGGGTGAAGGAGATTATAAGAGACAAAAACCTAGCAGCTAAGTACCTAAGCAAATGCATGTATTCGGTTGGAATTGGCACAAATGATCATATAGCCAACTACTTCAGGCCTCAATTATACCCAACAAGCCGCCTGTATACGCCTGAACAGTATGCCATTGTACTTAACCAACAATTTTCTCAGCAATTAAAGGTACTAATTATATGCTAATCCTTTCTTATTCGATATGGTACCATTTCTTATTATTTAAATGGATTAATAGCTCAATTTGTCTTTATAATTCTTTAACATGTCATTATATTCTTAATTGAGTAATTTTCTAATTTATCTTTTTTGTCAAAATTTTCAAACCAAACAACATAAATTAGTAATGTGATATATATATATATATATATATATATATATATATATATATATATTGAAAATGCCCTTATAAGCCAAATAAATGAAAGGCTTTCATGTACATAACACGTGACTAATTTTAGTGATACGGTGTAAAAATTTTGTCACGAGTAATATACTAATTTTTTTACTTATGTTACGTCGCGGATCGGATAAAATACATAAAATTATTTTCAAAAAATTATTTCATTTTGATGTCATATGTTATATTATGTGTCTATCAAAATATATCAAATCAAAACTGAATAAAAATTCATTTAATTTTATCATTTTTTAATCAAAATTTTGTATTTGACTAATTATTTTTTATATTTTTTTAGCTAAAACCTTATTTTGTAAAATGTTTTTTTCTAAACATCTTTTTGCCTTAGAAATTTTAATTAAAAAAATCAAAGAAAAAAACAATGACCAAAATCAAATAAAAAATATTTATAGACTAAAAAAATAATATATATAAAAGAGGGATCAAAGTGTGATATCATAAAAATTTCATAATAAATGTATTTAAAATATTTTTAAACTACAAAAATAAAGTCTGTATATTGAAATGAATAATGCATCCGGGTTTGGATAAATAGTGTAATGAATAGTAACTAATGGTTTTAGTTTAATTTTATTGTAATTATAAACTTAATATATATTTAAGATTACAAATATAAAGACAAGTTAGATAATTATCATATAAAGACAAATTGAGTTATTAAGTGTATTCAAAATTAGGTCAAGGATTAATTTCTAGATTAACTATAATTAAATTCTTTATTTGGTATTCACATCTTGGTATACATTATTAGACTTTGTATAACTATGGAGCAAGGAAGGTAATCTTATTTGGAATAACTCCGGTCGGTTGTGCTCCATCGGTTCGAGCTGCAATCGGCATAAATGGTTCTTCTTCTTCGTGTGTAGACCGGGTCAACAACGCAGTCCAGCTGTTTAACGCTGGACTCCGTTCGCTTGTGGATGACTTCAACAACAATCTAATCGGAGCAAAATTTATATTTGTGAACACATATCAGATATATTCCACTTCCTCTTCAGGTAATTAAAAAAATTAATATAGCAATGAGAATTAATTGTTGGAACAAATATATATGTTTAGACTGATTAATTTGGTGACCAATGACTCAGGTTTTAGAGTCAGAAATGCTCCGTGCTGTGCAGTATCAGCTACAAGAGGACTATGTATTCCATTCAGTAGTCCGTGTGGGAATAGGAGTGAGTATTTATGGTGGGATGCAATTCATCAATCTGAGGCATCTAATATGATAACAGCAACAAGATCGTATATTTCTCAATCTCCCTTCGATACTTACCCTATCGATATTCGCCATCTAGCTCGGCTTCCAGTGTATTAAAAATAAAAAAAATATATATAGGAAATTGAGGGAATAATTAATAATGCAAGTATTATGTATTTTCCATGAAAGAATTGCTAGCTTCCAGTGTATTTTCCAGTGTATTAACAATGCCATGCTTATTGTTGTTGTATCACATGGTAAAATGTTTTTCCTTTAAATTAGTTCATGGCAGCAATCTTCTTCTTCTTTATCATGAGTGGCAAATCCCCTAACTATATGCTTCAAGGATGTTAATTGAATGACGTCAGATAAATTTTTTACCGACGAATTCGTGATGGATTTTTTAATGTTTTTAAAATTTCGTAGGTTTTTTTAATACTTTTTTTCTTATTTTTTTTAACTCACGCATCCAATACCCATAACAAAACTAATCTGTTAGGATTGAAATCCGTGATCTCATTTTGCAAGAGACCGCTATTATTGGGCTACAAGCTCTTTAGTTAAAATTCTATTTATAATTTCGTCAATAATTAAAATAAAAAAATAAAGATCCAAATATTATGGTTTTTAGTATTGATATTATATTGCGCGTGTGTGCACACACACATATATATTCTTTGCATTTAATTTTATTTAAAAAAATTTGAAAAATCAATTCATTTTACTGTCTGCAGTTCTAACTTTGCTCAACAAGAAAGCAAATATCCACAATAATAGCATATCAGGGATGGTAAGGACTAAATGGACCGAGAATAGCATGTAAAGCCTCAATAAAATCTGTCCCAAGTAGAACATGTTTATAACCAAGATTCTAAACAAGAAGCAGACCACGAAAAATGGGTTAGAGCTCAGCAACCATATTACACAAACGGCTAGAAGCCCAAAGCTTTTATTTTTTATTTTTTATTTCCTAAAATCAAGTCTTTACCAAATATATACTTCTATTTTTTAAAATGATGCAAAAAAAAAAAAATTAAAAATAATTGACTTTTACTGGGCAAATATTATTATTGCGTCAATGCCATCAAACACATTTTATATATTTTAACTCATACACTCGATACACACTCAAAACTTCTAACAAAACTAAAAAAGAAATATTTTGTAAAAATATAGATTTTAAAAATCAAATTATCTATTAATTGAATTAATGGGGCGATTGATACTAGCTTCAATCCATTTGGTATGATTTTATAAATTGAAATAAGTTGTTTTTTTTTAATATAAAGAAAAATCACATACGTTATAAACAACCTAAAGGAAATGGCACTCTGCTCTACTTTTTTTTTTTTTTAAAAAAAATATGATATATGACCATACCAATTCATATCATAACAGAATTCCCCCATATCCCAAATCTTAGATGCTTACATGCCCATAAAGCAATAACCAATTTTGTCCACTGGAGCAAAAGATCATAACTTTTGTACCCTCACATATATGTAATTATTTGGTCAGTTGCTGCTAAAACAAAACGAGCCAGCTAAAATTGTATAAGTAAATTATAAATTAGTCTTTCTAGTTCTGCAAAACAAACTAAATGATCCTTTATGCTTTAAAAACTAATTATTGATTAATTTGACATTATTTTGTTTCAAATATTTTCTTCTTTTTTCATCAATCTTTTTATTTTTTTTACTTATTTTTTCTTTTTTCCATATATATATATAAAATCGAAAAGGATTAAGTTACAAATAGAGGGACTATTTAATTCTTTTTAAAAAAACTAGAAGGACTAATTTATAATTGACTTGAAATTATTTCAAATTTCATGCTCTGTTTTCCTCTCTGCCCCATATATATATAGTCTCCTGGTATACTCTAATGTCTCAACCAACCTTTTAATTCCTTCTCCATTTGTACCCTAATTTTGTCCTTTCTAATCCCATTATGGGCTTTTGGTGGCTCAAATCAGCCTTTTCGGTGCATGTTTTGGTTCTGAACTTGTCATTTTGGGTTCAAGGAGACCCACAAGTGCCTTGTTATTTCATTTTTGGTGATTCTTTACACGACAATGGCAACAACGATTCTCTTCCCACAACAGCTAAATCTAACTATCCACCTTATGGCATTGACTTTCCCTTAGGATTTACAGGAAGATTTTGCAATGGTCGCATTACTGCAGATATAATAAGTAGGAGTGTTTCTTCTTCCCTTGGCTCTCTCCTGTACTTTGTCGTTTTGTTTGCTATTTTAATGACTACGCTAATCGATCAAAACCTGCTTTATTGTAGCTCAGCTTCTGGGATTTGAACATTTCATTCCATCTTTTGCATCTGTACTGAGAGGTCAAGAAATACTGAAAGGTGTAAATTATGCATCTGGTGGAGCTGGAATTCGTAGTGAATCAGGAAGGAATTTGGTATTGACAAGCACCTTCATTTTCATGCATTTTTCTTATTCATACAACTTTTTTAGTATAGATAAAGTTTATCAAACGTCTTTCTACTATCTAATATTATTTATTTTAATCTTTTTATTTAAATGGAATACAAACCAAACCACAAATCACAGAAAGTTAGAATAAATCAAAATTTTTATTTATCTTCTCACAAATTATACGATGACACATGATTAATAAATACAAATAAAATAATTGATCTGTTTAAATGTTTAATAATATAAGATATATTTTATATTGTACATAATGATTTTTAATGGTTTTAATATCCCATATCAAAATCATGTAAAAATACTCAAAAAAAAAGTATGAAATCAATCTAAAAAAACCATAAGTTTGTTTCATTTACATCTTCAGGGGGCTGGAATTAGCATGGATGGATAGCTACTAAATCACCAAATTACGGTTGACAGTATCAGTGGGATATTAGGGGATAAAAAATCTGCTGCCAATTATCTAAATAAATGCATATATTCCGTTGGGATGGGCAACAATGACTATAATAATAATTACTTCATGCCACAATCATACCCTATAAGCCACATACATACCCCAGAACAATATGCCACCATTCTTATTCAACGATTTTGTCAGCAATTAAAGGTGAGTGATTTAATTAGTTCCAAAATTAATATCTACCATCCTCTCTTTATTTTATTTTTTTAAAAAAAACAGTACAAACTTTTTTTGAACTTTAAATTATTTGATTTTTTTTAATTTTTAATTTCAGAGTAAACTTGTCTTCAACTATTTTAATTTGAAATTATGTATATCTTTTTGTTAGATTTTCATTAATTCTAACATTTAAGTGAAATTTCTCGTAAGTTAAAAATATATCAAAAACTTACGGATGCTTTTTTTTCTCTCTTTAAATGCTAAAAAACAAGCAATAAAAAAAAATTTAGATGAAAAAAAAAGGTTTTTGGAAAGAAAAACAAATCATTTATAAGTCTTGATACACTTTTGGCTGTTGAAAAAATTAAAAAATCAACTACATGCAGATTATGTATACTTTCATTGTTAGAATTGATGAAAATCTAATAAAATGATATAAATTCAAATGAAAATTAGCGAAAAAAAATCCAATCCAAAATGAAAAAACCAAAAACTTAATTTCAAAATAGCAAATAACTTAAAATTCAAAGGAAGTTTGGATCATTTAGTTTTTTTTTTTCCTTTCTTAATTTTCTCTTGATGCTAGTAAAATTTTCTGACACCTTAACTAGACTCTTTACAAGCAAGGAGTAAGAAAGATAGTCCTGTTTGGAATAGCTCCAATAGGCTGTACTCCAAGTGATGTGGCTCTTTATGGCACAAACTGGAATTCCTCATGTGTGGATTTCATCAACAACGCAGTGCATCTTTTTAACACCAAGCTTATATCCCTCGCCAATGACCTCAACAATAACTTAAAAGATGCACAATTTATCTATGTCAACATGTATGGGATATATATCACCTCAACTTCTGGTATTTAAACACAGCTCCATAGTTCATCTTGGATAACATTTGGATCGACGCAAAAAAAATTTAGATTTTACTTATATCAAGAACTTGTATAATTTGAATTTTATATATTTTAACTCATATACTTAATACACACTAAAACTCCTAACAAAACTAAAAAAAAAAGTGTCTTGTAAAAATATAGATTTTAAAAATCAAATTGTCTATTAATTGAATTAATTGGCCGATTGATACTAGCTTCAATCCATTTGGTATGATTTTATAAATTGAAGTAAGTTGTTTTTTTTTTTTAATATAAAGAAAAATCACATACACTACAAACAACCTAAAGGAAATGGCACTCTGCTCTACTCTTTTTTTTTTTTAAATATGATATATGACCATACCAATTCATATCATAACAGAATTCCCCCATGTCCCAAATCTTAGATGCTTACATGCCCATAAAGCAATAACCAATGTTGTCCACTGGAGCAAAAGATCATAACTTTTGTAACCTCACATATATGTAATTATTTGGTCAGTTGCAGCTACAACAAAATGAGCCAGCTAAAATTATATGAGTAAATTATAAATTAGTCTTTCTAGTTTTGCAAAACAAATTAAATGATCCTTTATGCTTTAAAAACTAATTATTGGTTAATTTGACATTATTTTATTTCAAATATTTTCTTCTTTTTTCATCAATCTTTTTATTTTTTTACTTATTTTTTTCTTTTTTCCATATATATATATATATATATATATATATAATCGAGAAGGATTAAGTTACAAATAAAGGGACTATTTAATTCTTTTTAAAAAACTGGAAGGACTAATTTATAATTGACTTGAAATTATTTCAAATTTCATGCTCTCTTTTCCTCTGCCCCGTGTATATATAGTCTCCTGGTATACTCTAATATCTCCACCAACCTTTCAATTCTTTTTCCATCCGTACCCTAATTTTGCCCCTTCTAATCCCGTGGTGGGTTTCTGGTGGCTCAAATCAGCCTTTTTAGTGCATGTTTTGGTTCTTTGTCATTTTGGGTTCAAGGAGACCCACAAGTGCCTTGTTATTTCATTTTTGGTGGTTCTTTATACGACAATGGCAACAACGATCCTCTTCCCACAACAGCTAAATCTAACTATCCACCTTATGGTATTGACTTTCCCTAAGGATTTACAGGAAGATTTTTGCAATGGTCGCAATACTGCAGATATAATAAGTAGGAGTGTTTCTTCTTTTCTTGGCTCTCTCCTGTACTTTATCGTTTTGGTTGCTATTTTAATGACTACGCTAATCGATCAAAACCTTTCTTATAGCTCAGCTTCTGGGATTTGATCATTTCATTCCATCTTTTGCATCTGTGAGAGGTCAAGAAATACTAAAACGTGTAAATTATGCATCTAGTGGAGCTGAAATTCGTAGTGAATCAGGAAGGAATTTGGTATTGACAAGCACCTTCATGTTCATGCATCTTTCTTATTCATACAACTTTTTTAGTATTGATAAAGTTTATCAAATGCCTTTCTACCATCTAATATTATTTATTTTAATTTTTCTATTTAAAAATGACATTAAAAAAATTATGTATTACTAAAGTTAGAACAAATCAAGTTTTCTATCTACTATCTCACCACCAATTATATGATTACACATGATTAATGGACGCGATAAAATGACTTATTTGTTTCGCCGCTCGATAATACAAGATATGTTTTATATTTTACATAATAATTTTTAATGATTTTAATATCTCATATCAAAATCACGTAAAAATACTCAAAAAAGTATGAAATCAATCTAAAAAAGACCTAATCTTGTTCCATTTACATCTTCAGGGGGCTCGGATTAGCATGGATGGACAACTGCTAAATCACCAAATTACGGTTGACAGTATTAGTGGGAGATTAGGGGATAAAAAATCTACTGCCAATTATCTAAATAAATGCATATATTCTGTTGGGATGGGCAACAATGACTATAATAATAATTACTTCATGCCACAATCATACCCTACAAGCCACATACATAACCCAGAACAATATGCCACCATTCTTATTCAACGATTTTGTCAGCAATTAAAGGTGAGTGATTTAATTAGTTCCAAAATTAATATCTACCATCCTCTCTTTATTTTTTATTTTTTAAAAAAACAGCACATTTTTTTTTAACTTTAAATTATTTGATTTTTTTAAATTTTTAATTTCAGAGTAAACTTGTCTTCAACTATTTTAATTTGAAATTACGTATATCTTTCCGTTAGATTTTCATTAATTCTAACATTTAAGTGCAACTTCTCGTAAGTTAAAAATATATCAAAAACTTACGGATGCTTTTTTTTTCTCTTTAAATGCTAAAAAACAAGCAATAAAAAAAATTAGATGAAAAAAAAAGGTTCGGGAAGAAAAACAAATCATTTATAAGTCTTGATACACTTTTGGTCTGTTGAAAAAATTAAAAAATCAACTACATGCAGATTATGTATACTTTCATCGTTAGAATTGATGAAAATCTAATAAAATGATCCAAATTAAAATGAAAATTAGCAAAAAAAAATCCAATCCAAAATGAAAAAAAAAAACTTAATTTCAAAATAGCAAATAACTTAAAATTCAAAGGAAGTCTGGATCATTTGGTTTTTTTTTTTTCCTTTCTTAATTTTCTCTTGATGCTAGTAAAATTTTCTGACACCTTAACTAGACTCTTTACAAGCAAGGAGCAAGAAAGATAGTCCTGTTTGGAATAGCTCCAATAGGCTGTTCTCCAAGTGATGTGGCTCTTTATGGCACAAATGGGAATTCCTCATGTGTGGATTTCATCAACAACGTAGTGCAACTTTGTAACACCAAGCTTATATCCCTCGTCAATGACCTCAACAATAACTTAAAAGATGCACAATTTATCTTTGTCAACATATATGGGATATATATCACCTCAACTTTTGGTATTTAGACACAACTCCATAGTTCATCTCGGATAACATTTGGATCGATAAAAAAAATTTAGACTTTACACATATTAAGAACTCGTATAATTTGAGATTCTAAATTTTTGTTCTATTTAATTTAAGAATTCTATTATTATTTTGTTATTGTTTTAGATCCTAGCTAATAGTAACTTACCACGTGTGGGCTCAAGTAGATAACGACTTATCACGTCATCAATTCAATCGGTTAATTTAGATCCACCATTACATGTAGCAAGCTATCATTAGATAAAGCTCGTCAAGTGTATTTACGTGGCATATTATGGTATGAGACAATAATAATATAAGAGTAGAATTTTTAAATTAGACGGAAAAAACACCATGACACGTGACGGGCTATCATTGGATAAAACTCTTCACGTGAACCTATGTGGCATATTAGGATCCGAAACAACAACAATATAAGAGTAGAACTCTTAAATTAGACGAGAAAAAAACTTAGAGTCTCAATAAAAAAAAATTGAATTATATTAGATTTTGATATGTGTAAAATCCAAAAAAATAATTTACATGATTATATTATAAATTCAATTTCAGGTTTTAGGGTTACAAATGCTCCATGTTGAGAAGTGGCTTTGAGAAATGGGGGGTGATAACATGTTCTCAAGGACGAATTCCCTGTAGGAACAGAAGTGATGGGATGGAGTGCACCCTGGTGAGGCTTCCAATGTGATATCAGCAACCAGATCCTACGATGCTCAATTATCGAATGATACTTATCCGATCGATATTCATCGCTTGACTCAACTCTAGATCAAGGATTCATTTGAATGCTTATGTGGGATGGTTTAGATTTTCCAAAAAAAAATATTTAATTTCAATTGACGAACAAGATGATTTGAAAATAGCTCGTATCATTAAATAAAAAATATCATTTAACTTGTCAAAAAAAACTTAGTCACCAAGTAATTTTTGTCGTTATAGTCATTATTCTGTAGTGAAAAGTCTTGTATTGCAACTGAGAATGAAGTGAACAAGACAAAAGAAATAGACTTTAAATTATTAAAAAAAATTTATTTTTCAAAATAACTTTTATATGAGTGGTAAACAAATTCTAAAAATCCCTTTATTTATTAATTTCTCAATATATATTAATCAAATCATAATATTTTTGTTATTGTTTTCAAAATAATGTCGTCTTGCTGTGTAAATATGCACATTAAACCTAAAATGTTAGTATTCATTAGCTTTTTCATCAAATTTTTTTACTATTTTAGTTCATACAGTATACGAAATAAACTTTAAAATAGCACAATTGAAAAATACAGAAAACATTTGGGATCTAATTGAAAATATTTATAGGTTTGGGATGCAATCAACAATGAATATATAGATTTGAGATTAAATTAAGAAGTTCTCTAAATTTAATGCACAGAGATTAAATAAAATAAGAAAGGTACTCCCCTTTGAAAAGAAAAAAGAAAAACAGTATTGCTTATTCTGGTGTTATTTTTTATCCTTGGGAACTTCCACTCTTCTATTTACGAAATATGCCTTCATGGAACTATTTATTACCTTGTGCTTAATGCTCAATTCCAAAGCTCCTTCTAACTTTTTACCAAGTGAGGTTCAAAAGGTGAAAGAAAGCATTGAAAAAAAGGCCCTTTACTCTCTTGTGTGGCTCGAGCCCGACTAGAACTTATCCAGCCCAACCTGACCCATTCGAGAATTGTCGTGGTTGTCGTCATTCGATTCAAAAGCTCCAAAAATGGCCGATCCACGTTTCCCAATCCGAAATTGCGAATATTAAATGATAATGATGTGGATATTGACAAACTAAATTAGTACACTCAATAACACGTGTCGCATTCACCTTGGCTTTGACTAGGGTCGTTTTTGTCCATTCATATATGCCACGAAGTGGCCTGGAAATTTCCACGTGATCTTACTTTCTTGTGTGCCGCTGAGTTTAATGCCAACTGCAGTAGCAATCAACCCATTTTTATCCTCCTAAAATTTCAACACCTTCTCCTTCCTTGTTTAACATTATGGTTTCGTAAATCATAAAAAAAAAAAAAAAAAAAGGAAATTATTTACTAATCCCTATTTTTTTTTATTTTAAATCATATTTTTATCGAGGCAACTTAATAAAATCATTTGTTATACAAACAAATAAAAAAAATTTAAGGTGTTTATTCATCATTTTCTTTTTACTTGCATTGCTATATTATTGTTTTTTCGTGTCATTATTTCTTTCGAAATACAAATTTTATCATGGGAATATCTTAAATCTATTAAGAAAATTTGTTTTATAAGTATTATAATTAATGTAATATATGTTTATTGTCAAACTCTAATTACACTAACTAAGAAAAAATTATTTTATCACATATCATCAATTAAAATTTTTGATCGAGACACTCCAAAAAAAAAAAAAGAATTATGTATGACCACTTTTTTGAAATTTTAATTGATATAAATTATGTTGGTTTACGATGTTATGTAAAAATAAGGAGATTTTTTTTTCTCAATATTGAGTCAAGGCTGAAGTTCATGTCCCAAGGCAATAACTGCTCAGTAATAAAATTATTATTTTCACTCATCGAAAAAGACTAATAACTTTCTGATTAATAAATTTTGTAAACCCATGTGAATTGTGATGCGATCTCTTCTCTGAGATATTTGAATAAATAATAAATAAATAAAAATAAAACAAAAACAAAAAAGCAAGAATTAAATTACTATTATAGCGTCGCGCACATTTCAGACAAATGTCCGCGCTGACATGGCAAGTTTCTAAACGGTCAGCACTATAGTCTCACGGTACAGAAGAAGCAGCAGATCATTCTCACCCTCCCTTACAAATCCTCGTGTGCTACATCATCATAGTTGTCTATGTCTCCTGGTGGCCCTCTCTCCCTCCCTCCATCAGATAAAATCCCTTACAAATCCTTTCTTCATCTTCTTCCCTCTCTGTCGTTCGCATCTGCGAATTAATTCTGTAATTTCGAATTCGGTTGAAACCTTAGCGTTTTGATCGATACTTAGATTTTTTTAATCAAATTTCAAATTGTTAATATCTCCGAGAGAAAATGCCGTCAGTGTACGGAGCTCGACTGACCACATTTGAAGATTCTGAGAAGGAGAGCGAGTATGGATACGTGCGCAAGGTAGATTCTGTTTCGTGTTTTTTGTCTTCAAATCAATTAGATAGATCGAATTTCTATTCCGAATTTGATTGAACTCTTCTATGATCTCTTTCTGTTGAGTTACTGTTATTAGATCGAATTCGTAGATTTATCTGTAATTGATTTCGCAGTTAAATTTGGAGCCGGTGGATCTGGTTTTAACGGTTGTGATCCTTTGAGATATGTTTATGAGTGATTGTAGAGATCTTATTAGTATAGTTGATGCTGTTAAGAAATAATGGTAGAAATTTGTGAAACTGTGAAATGTTAAAATTGTCTTGTGAAGTGGTTGCTAGTATTTCAATGCTGTGTGTTTTGATGTATGACTTGGATTTAGCTTGGTAAATATTGTATTAACCTGATGTTTGTTTTGTGTTATTGCTCGAACTCGATAAAAAATGGTTATGCAGATAACAAATGGTTAAAAATAAGATCTGATTTTTCTTTTTGTCTTGTAAGTGTTAGTTGGCTCATTTGCTCAGATTGAGATTTAGTTGTTTTGTTTTTAGGATGCGAGCAACTGATTGTGATGCATGACTTTTAGTTTGATTTTGGTTTTTCATGATTTTAATCTATATTTGATGTGGTTTGCTAGGTTTAATGCATTTTCGTGGTTTTTTTTTCACTAATTTGATGTGGTTTGACAGGTGTCAGGGCCAGTCGTGGTTGCTGATGGCATGGCTGGTGCAGCTATGTATGAACTGGTCCGTGTTGGCCATGACAATCTAATTGGTGAAATTATTCGTTTGGAAGGAGATTCTGCTACAATCCAAGGTTATTCACTAATGCGAGTTCTAGATAGCTAGAATTCTATGTTTCATACTTCATCCATCTCATTTTTGAGTAATTTAATCAATTAATATTATGTATCTGCTCTGCTTACTCCTGGATCCCTTTTTGTAAAATGGAAATGGAACATGTTTCTTTGTCTTTACTGAGGTTACCTGAAATGGAAATGAATGTTTTTGTTCTCTACTCTGCCAGTGTATGAGGAGACAGCTGGTTTGACGGTGAACGACCCTGTTCTTCGGACGCACAAGGTGATCTTACTATCTTGTCTTGTCATTTTTTTTTCCTGGATGGTATTATGATTGCATCAGCTCATAAACTGTATGTTGATCTTCCAGCCCCTATCCGTTGAGCTGGGACCAGGAATATTGGGGAATATTTTTGATGGAATTCAGGTTTGACAGTGCTTGCTTCGTTTCCAATTCTCAATTAGTAATTGGAATTACGTTTTGTTTTCTGTTAATCAGAAACCTTTTTCAGAAGCCTTATAAGCATATACTTTACTCTTGCTTAATATATATATACATATATGCATGTATGTATAAAGTTGGAAGTTTATTCTTTGCTCTCTCACTAGCAATATTTAGAGGTTAACCATCCACCTATGTTTTGTTATCAAAACAGAGGCCTTTGAAAACCATTGCAAGAATATCCGGTGATGTCTATATTCCTCGTGGAGTCTCTGTTCCTGCCCTTGACAAAGACACACTCTGGGAATTTCAGCCTAAAAAAATAGGTAATGGCGGGAATGTTGTTGACAAATGACAATGATTCTTCCTTCAATTTCTTAAGTAGGATTCCACTAACTTAAGTTATACTTAATGTTGGCAGGTGAGGGAGATCTTGTGACTGGTGGAGACTTGTATGCTGTAAGTTCTTTATTTGCACCTTCCGAATTGTAGGCTCTTTGTAAAAAATGTGTAATTTGAACTTCTTTATTTGTTTATTTTAATTTATTCATTTTTGCAGAGTTTAACATTAGGATTTTGTGTGGATATTTTCCAATGCAGACTGTATTCGAGAACACTCTAATGCAGCATCATGTTACACTTCCTCCTGATGCTATGGGGAAAATCACTTATATTGCACCTCCTGGTCAATATTCATTGAAGGTTCGTCTCTTTCTCTTTTTTTGCCACATTAAAATGATTGTTACACGATAATGCATGTGCTTTCCACTTTCTTCCTGTATGGTATGTATCTGCATGTACATATAACATTGATATCGAGTTAAACGAGTTTTTCTGTATGCTGAACTTGGGAAACACTAACAATGATCTGAAACTAGATACAAATGGTATCAGGATCATTCTCTAGTCTCCTTGGTTTATAGTTATCATTTGGTTGAGATTTGTATTTATATGAATTCTCTATCACTTCTAAACTGCACATTGACATTGCTTGTGGAGATCTGTACATTGACTTCTGTTTTTGCAGGACACTGTGCTAGAGCTTGAGTTCCAGGGTGTCAAAAAGCAATTTACCATGCTTCAGGTTTGTAATTTGTTGCCAAACTTTCAGTGGATCAAAATGTTTGTATTCAGAGCTAGAAAAAATTTAATTTGCTATTTGCTTCTTCTATATGCAGAATTGGCCAGTACGTACGCCAAGACCAGTTGCGACAAAGCTTGCTGCTGATACCCCTCTACTTACTGGGCAGGTACTTGCCTATATTCTAAAGGCATTGCTTTTCTAATTTATTGCTTTCTATTTCAGTAATATGACTTTTCAATGACTTTTGTTTTGTTTCAGCGTGTCCTTGATGCCCTTTTCCCCTCAGTCCTTGGTGGAACTTGTGCTATACCTGGTGCATTTGGTTGTGGAAAGACTGTCATTAGTCAAGCTCTTTCCAAGGTGAAACTTGTCAATTCCTTGTGGAGCGTATTCTGTTGGTTATGATGATGGGGTAGTGTGGTTGATTCATTATTTATGTTTGCTTGTGCAGTACTCTAACTCTGATACCGTTGTGTATGTGGGCTGTGGAGAAAGAGGAAATGAAATGGCAGAGGTATATGTTTCTCTCAGTTTTAGTCATTAATTCTCTTTTAGGGCTTTTGAGATTTTAATCTAGGGTGATCGATTGCTCAGGTGCTCATGGATTTTCCACAATTGACCATGACTTTGCCTGATGGCCGGGAAGAATCTGTCATGAAGCGTACAACCCTTGTAGCCAACACCTCTAACATGCCTGTTGCTGCTCGTGAGGCTTCAATTTACACAGGTAACACTATTTCTTTTATGTAAATATTAAGCAGATTAGAGAATGATATGAAGCAGAAAGTCCTATAAGTTGTGCTTATTCTTTCTTGTTAGTGTTACAAGAGTTGAGAGTATAAAAAAAAATTCCATGCGGTTGGTTAATTAAGAGCTTATGCATTTTGAATGCATGCATCATGGATGTTAGTGACCTTTTGTAATTCAGGAAAAGGACGGTAATTTTTATGATATCAGATTTACTGTCATGGGCCGTTTGTTGTTGAAGCAGCAGTTCTCTTATGAAGCACATGTAATGTTAAGAGAAATAAATGGTTGCAGACTGTAATTTTATTGCTTAAGTTACAAGTTCATGTTTGTGCCTGATTTGCATGAATTTGAAAATTGTACGTATTAGATTCATTTATTGTTGGTGATGTTCTGTCTTGCTTTGTGCTGATTTCCCCACCAACTTGTGGGTGGATGTGTTGTTCTCAGGAATCACTATAGCTGAATACTTCAGAGATATGGGCTATAACGTGAGCATGATGGCAGATTCAACATCTCGTTGGGCAGAGGCATTGCGTGAAATTTCTGGACGGCTGGTTAGCCTCTACCAACATTTATCTCAATGCCTTGGAAGATTTTTTTAATGCTTCATATGTTAGCGTCTGATACATGGCAGTTTTAGCTGGTGCCTCTGTGTAGTCTATCTCTTAGCTTGCATGCCATGTGTCTGTCTTACCATAACTTGCCTATCATCTGCAACCATTGATGACAAAAATAACTAGGTTTCTGTTAGCTAGATTTGTTGAAGCTATAAATAGTTAATACTTGAGAGTTTGTTCCAACATCTTATTAGGTACTAGTTTCCACAAGAAATTGGTAATATCATCTGTTACTGTTGATATTGGATTAGGGATATACTATTCTCATGATTGATTCTTTGTATGTTGTTTTTCATTAGACAGATGATTTAGCTGAGAAGCGAGAACTATGATCTATTATGTTAATTCTTTCATGCATACTGTGAATGTTTTTTTATCCCACTCTGATAAATTCTAATTGCATATTTCTTAATTATGTTTGCAGGCAGAAATGCCTGCTGATAGTGGTTATCCTGCTTATCTGGCAGCACGTTTGGCCTCCTTTTATGAACGTGCTGGTAAAGTAAAATGCCTTGGTTCACCAGAGCGTACAGGCAGTGTCACGATTGTTGGTGCAGTTTCCCCACCTGGAGGAGATTTCTCAGATCCTGTTACATCTGCTACCCTCAGCATTGTCCAGGTAATTACCGGCTATGTTTACCATCTTTCATGCTAGAAGCAATTTGCACAACATTGATTATTGAGTCAACAGAGAGTTAAGTCTTTTTTGGCTTAGATAGTGCGCTTCCACAACCTAAATTTTTTGATATTTGTTTTTTAAAAGCTTGAAATAACTTGTTGCAATAGGCAAATATTTTTTTTATGGTGCCTGATAAGTAATTAGACGAAATATAATTTCAAAATTGAAAGGACAAGTCATAGAAAAATTCTAATGTTTAATTAATCAAGCCAATTTGAGCATGGCCAAATTACTGATCAACAAGCTGGGAAGCATAGCCTAGGTGCCAAAAATGATTCTGTTTCACTGATCCAGTTAAATTTTTAAGTCCAAGCACACGTGTAACTTAAGTGAGACAGTCTGGGAAATGACATGTTCAATGTTGATGCAATTTTGGATTTTTTTCCACAAACTTTATTATTTGATTAAAAATGAGATTATTCATTTGTACTTTTGCAGGTCTTCTGGGGTTTGGACAAGAAACTTGCACAAAGGAAACATTTCCCTTCTGTAAACTGGCTTATTTCCTACTCTAAGTACGCAGGGGTAGGTTTGCAATTTTTCTACAAACTTCTTTTGCTTTTCTTTTGAAAAGATAATTGTCTGGATGCTTATTGGATCTTTCATTATTGCATCCTATATTCTATGGAACCTCTTCATGTTTTATTAGGCTGTCCCTCTTTTGTTGTCAGGCATTGGAGTCATTCTACGAGCGATTTGATCCAGATTTTATCAACATCAGGACAAAGGCACGTGAAGTGCTCCAAAGAGAAGATGACTTGAATGAGATTGTCCAAGTATGTTTTTCTTATTTCAAAATTTTCTTTATTCTGGTTTCCTTAGGTCCAAGTATATAGAATATGTGATTGACCTGAGACTGTTGAAGAAATACATGGATGGATTCTGTGAACTATATGATGGGTGTTGTTTCAGTGTTACCTTTGCTGCAGTACTCCATGTCTTCTCTTGCCCTTCTAAATTGTTTGATTTGCAAATTTTAATTTGGCAACAATTAACTTTGGTGGAGATTGATTACATTTGGTGTTTATGATACTGTAGATCCCCATAGAATTATGTAGAGTTGCACTATCGTTTGGTCTCTATCCCATCCTTTGGGGCAAATTTTGCACAAACACTTCTTCTTTTCTTTTTCGCTTTTGCCATGCAACAATTTATGAAGATGAAAGTTAATAGTGTTGTTTTGTCTGCTTGTGATTGAATGTCATGGCTTTCTGGATTATTGCAGCTTGTTGGAAAGGATGCTTTAGCTGAAGGAGATAAGATCACCCTGGAGACTGCAAAACTTCTGAGGGAGGACTATCTTGCTCAGAATGCATTTACTCCGTATGCCCCAACCTCATTACTTGATCTTTTCTATAATATATCATTTTGCGTAATTAAGATTTATTAAACTCATTCCTATGCAATCCGCATCTTTGAATGTGTTGTGTGGCTGCAGATATGACAAGTTCTGTCCTTTCTACAAGTCTGTTTGGATGATGCGCAACATAATTCATTACTTCAATTTGGCCAATCAGGTAAATTAATCCCCCTCCCTTCTGGAATTTTTTTGTCTTGTTTAAGGAATTTACTAGGGAGGGTTCTGAAACTCTGGTAGAGATTGACCGGACATAATAGTATGTACAAGTTGCTTGTTGCGATAGGAGTTTGGGCATCCTTCTTTTCTCTCTTTTATTACACTGCAAGTATCAGTGATCAATAATTGTAGGTCTTAAGTCGAAACTTTACACCTGCTCACAACCCCGTAGTTGGTAATATGATTTTGTTCTGGATCTTTGATGAACAAGTTTGCAATTCAACGTACAGGCTGTTGAGAGAGGTGCTGGCATGGATGGTCAGAAAATAACATACACCCTTATCAAGCATCGGTTGGGAGATCTCTTCTATCGTTTAGTGTAAGTATATTGTAGTTCTATGGCAAGAATCCCCTATTGAAAAGCAATGGCTATACAAAAATCCACTAGAACTACCTTCTGATATTGTCATATGTTGATGTTGCAGATCCCAAAAATTCGAGGATCCAGCAGAAGGGGAAGCAGCTCTCGTTGAAAAATTCAAAAAGTTGCATGAGGATTTGACTGCCGGTTTCCGTGCCTTGGAGGACGAGACTCGATGATTTAGGTGTTCCAAATTTTGGTTATCCATGGAGTCTTTGTGGCAGCCCGAGACCAGCACTTGATCCATCTTATTTGTTTGCCTACAAAGAATTAGTGTTGGTGCACTCGCTCAGGCCACTTGCGGTGCTTGTTACCTTTTGAGGTGTGATCGACACTGTGTAATTTGTTATTCAAATTGGAGTTGTTGTGGGCAGTAAGTAAAAGATTAGAACTGTTCCTTGTGTATTTATGCAATAAGGTTTGTACGCAGGCAGTGTCAATTTGTATGATTTAACTTATCATAAATCATTTAACTTAATCATAAACCAGAGAATCTTATATCTTTCCCGAAGAGGAATTGATTATTTTATTTCTTTAATTTTTTGTGAATTTCTTCCATTGCATGCTAATTACTCTTTTAATTTTACATGTGATACGAAAGCTTTGTCTTGAGCATGGTAAGAGGCATGCATAAGAAGAACCAATTACTTGAATTGGGTTCCCGGTCATTTCTTTCTAGGAAAGCAGTAGTTTCCTACAAAATTCAACCCTTCAAAGACTCCTCAAAGACATGTGGGTCGGGTAGGGTTTCTTATAAACCCAGTGTGCAATCAACACGAGTTTTATGCACCAATCAAATCTGCTTTACGCTCAGATGACTGGATGAAGGGTTACGGTCATGTGGCGTATAGGCAACAGACTTGAGGCAGCGTACCTTATATGGAAGACTTTGAACACCACGAGAAGCAAATTTCATAAATATAATGGAGGTATCATATGAGTACCACAAGAAAGAAAAACTGACTTGAGAAAGATAAATATAAAAATCTTTGAGAAACATAAAGCAACATGTTTGCTACAATTATAAACTTCAGATTGCAATGGAGGAGATAAATCTTTCAGCCAGGGCCAACTTTAGGAATGTCGTAGTGCTCGCTCATGTTTGCCAAATATTGATTGAAATCTTGAATCCTGTCACGGTGAGATTTATCAGCTTCTTTTGCCATCCTATGAACATCAATTCTCTCTCTCTGCTCAATGTATCGTCTCTCTGCAGGTGTGAGATGATCGATGTAAGAAGCAGTCTTTCCTTCCTCGCTCGTCTTTTCTCCATCATCATTTTTTATATCTTTCTCGTTAACATCATCAATTGGTTCTTCTACGCTTTGGCCTACACCAAATACCAAAATTGGATGATGATACTCTGAAGTTAAGATGGAGAAGTAGAAGATAACATAGCATGAATAAAACAAACAGGTTATAAAGAGCAACACATCATCTATTTCAGAAAGCCTGCTTTATCATCGGCACATTTCAGCAATTCATTTAAATGAAAGACTACCAGGGAAAAAAACGAAATCAAGCCAACAATCAAGATATTTCGTCAGATGACGTGTCAAACAAAACCAAAATAATTGAGCAACCTAATTTGCAGTCATTCTTTGGAGAAGTGATGATCACTGATGAGTTAAAATGAATGGATGACCACAACAATAGAGAAAAAATGGCCGAGCACAATAACTTGGAACGGTATCCATGCAGTCCTTCAGCAACCGTTGCTTTCAAAGGCTGCTAGTTCCCTTAATTTTGGTTTGATTAGGTTCTATCATGATGCATGATGATGATTATTCCTTCAGAAATCTATAACAACCACCATGCTATTTGTTCTTTACCAAGCTGTCTTTTGCTTAAATTTGACGAACACAGAGTGAATTAACAATATTTGCCAAAAAGCAGAGCAGGTAAAAACAACTGTTTCAAAAAAGAAAAAAGAGAGAGAGAGAGCAAAGAATGACCCAAGGCAAGCAAACAGCAGCATGGCTGCCTTCGAAGAAGAACAACAATCAACAGAGGAACAGCCTTTTCTACTAATGGAGTGACAACCTAGATTCAAACCCAGAAAGGAAATAGCTTTTTCATTATTTATTTATTTATTTATTTAACTCAGTAAATTAAACCCACCCTCCAACAAGACCAAAGACCACCAGCAGCTTAAAAACACAAGAAAATAATTAATAAAGGATTTTTTTAAAAAAATAAAAACCTGTAGAAAGCTCATTATCAATGACTTGGTCGGAGGAGTCGATATGTTTCTTCTGATGTTTCTTTTTCTTCTTCTTAATGCTGCCAGCTTTCACATCCAAAGCTTTTCCCTTTAGCTTCAGTTTCCCACCCACAATATTCTCATAACCAGACATTGCTTGATTCGATCGATCGATCGATCTTCCTATCTGTTTCGACTATAATTAAAATAAATAAATGGAAAATTGCAAGTGATTGAAAATAAAGCATAAAAAAGAAAAGAACAGAAGAGGAGAGATTGATTCATGGAAGTAAAACCTAACAAGTACCTGAAATTAGCTTTAATCCGTTCCGTCTCAGGCAATGAAATCTTCTCCTCTCTTCTTTTATTGCGATTTGTCGTTGCTCCGATCCATTGGATTAACTAACTCTATAAGTAACCGACCTGTCGTTGGATTTCTGCAGATTGCATAGGTATTGCCTCCCCCTCGTTATAGCTCTGGGCCTCTGGATACATGGGCCTACCCAGGCTTCGGGGATGGGTCGTCATTCTCTCTCTCTCTCTCTCTCTTTCTTATTTCTCTCCCTACTTTGTGTCTAACTCTCTCCAAGAAAGTGAATCCATAAAATAGCCATTATATATATACACTAATTACTTCTTTAATACTATAAAATTTCTCGAGAAACAAATAATTAGTCTCACCATTTTCGAAAAATGAATTAATTAATATTTCTTATTTCAAAAATTAATTATTTAATTTTTTAATACATAATCATATAAATTTACAATCAATCAATCATACAAGTCCAAAAACATTAATTTAAGCACTCGGAATGCGCTTTAATCACAAGAGTTTACAACCCAGGGGGATTGATTTTGATTAATAATACTAATCACATTGCTTCCATCAGCTCGGACACCTCAGTACACGATGAACAGCCTGAGCAGATTCATGTGCCACAACAGCTTCAGTTGTCTCAGACACGCGGTGGATTCCAGGAACAAGCAGGAAGAGAAGCTTCTCACAACATATACCTGTTAAAATTTTAGGTTAACTTTCATAAAATGCACATTTATACACAATCTGATGATTAATGTCCATAAGCAGAGCTGGCATATGATGAGAGAGATTCATTCAGTGATTAAAGAAAGAAATAAAACAGGTTTTTATCCCTGGAAAAATTTTCTGATACAACCATCTGAGCACATATAAATCAATCCAGAATGGAAGTTTGTAATAGTGAATAAAACTTGTGCAATCCAAGTCGTGCCTCGGTCCAGATTCCGTCCAGAACTCATGCAAGGATGACACAATTTAACAATATGTTGTCCAATATGGCACATAACAAGATCTATCAGCTTTTGGTACTGCAGCAGTGAATACACACAAACATCTTCTGTAGTGAAACAAAAACAAAAGTACTACTATACTACGTAGTGATTGGAAGAAAAAAAAAATAAGAAGAGAAACGACCTGCCCAACGAAGGACATAGAACCGAAAAAAATAATAAAGCACGAACACTGAACACATGCCATTAGTAGTCAGTGGTAAGTGCCTCTATTTTCGAATCCCATTCAATCATCAAGCAGCAAAAATTAATAGTTCTTGCTGAATTAATCATATAAAAAAAAATTTCTCAAAATTTTGCTGAAAATCAAAAAGCAAGGATCTTGAGATTTCTTAAGTAGACTCATATGATTTAACAATCACAGATTAAAAGTTAACAATTTGGAAGACGTATTCAAATTTGATAAGATTGTACAAATTCATTTGGTATCTATGGTCCTTCCCCCCGCCCCCAAAAAAAAAAAAAAAAAAAAGAAAAACATGCCAGCCAAACGAAAGAATCTTCGAGAAAGTAAGAACTTATTAAGATTTGTAAGATTTATATGTGAAGAGAAGAGGCCTTGCAGTAGAATAACAAAAGGAAGGCATAAAGCCAGAGGCGAGAGTATTGAGACATGTGACTGGTGGTGAATGCGGTCACTTTTCTGTCACTCGCTCTGTCTTTCAAGTGCCACTCAACAGAAAGACCAGATTTAATAAAATCCCTTGAAGAGTTTCGAACAACATCTTAAGACACTCCATCACATACAATTCCTGCAAAATACCCCTATCATCTATCAACCATGAAAATTGAAGAGCTCGCACTGCATTTCTAACTTTGGACTAGTAAGTGATTTCAATTTCAGGATTAGTAAGTGACATCTGAACCATCCAAAAGTAAGCAAATGGCATATATAACCCAATCATCTGCACACCATACCACCAAAAAGACCATTGTAGAAATCACAATGGTACACATCCATCCACAAACAATAACTTGCACTGTAGTTCATAAATACTAAAAGCACATTTTGTTACTCTTCGCTGTCAAAAAAAGGAGGTGCGCCTATACATAAAGACTAAAGAGCCCATAGTATAATTTAAGATAACAAGTAGTTCCGGAATCCTGACATAGATAAACCATGAAAGTTCTCAAAGGCATGTACAAGTACATCAGAGAGTAAGAACCTGGATGATGATATCTCATCTGTTCTCCATACACTCGAGCAGCTAGAGACCAATGACCTATATTCTCGTTTGGCAGAAAATTCATATAACCAGCTGCCCTTACTACTCTATAGTCATATTCATAGCATCAGTCTAATAACCACTCAGTGCTGTGACCATTGAATCTGCTTAATATCAATTCCTTCCTTCACCATCTCATAAAGAGGGCTCATTTCCCTCAACTTCTCAACTTGATGCACAGTAAGCTCAATTGCCCTATCAATCTCCTCCTCTGTGGTAAACCTCCCAATGCCAAACCTAATTGAAGTGTGAGCCATGTCCTCATCCACCCCCAATGCCCTCAACACATACGAAGGCTCCAAACTAGCACTCGTACAAGCACTCCCACTCGACACTGCCACATCCTTCAAGCCCATCAGCAAACTCTCCCCTTCCACATACGCAAATGAAATATTCAAATTCCCAGCATACCTCCTCTCAACACTCCCATTAACCACAACACCGTCAAGCTTAGCCCTAATTCCATTCAACAGCCTCTCTTGCAAACCCTTAATTCTCTCATCATCATACTCCATCTCCTTTTTTGCTAATTCACACGCCGCCCCCATTCCCACAACTAAAGGAGTAGGCACTGTCCCACTCCTTATCCCTCTCTCTTGTCCACCCCCATTCATCTGTGGCTCCACTCTTATCCTTGGCCGCCTACGCATATACAAAGCACCGACCCCTTTCGGCCCATAAATCTTATGTCCACTCAGCGACATTAAACTCACATTCCATTTATCCACATCAACCGGAATCTTCCCCAAGGCTTGGGCAGCATCCGTATGAAACGGAACCTTCAGCTCCTTACAAATTTTCCCAATTTCCTCCATTGGCTGAATCACACCAATCTCATTATTAACTGCCATAACCGAAACAAGCCCAGTGTCCGGCCTAATAGAACTCCTCAACTTCTCCAAGTCAACAATTCCATCATTCCCAACCGGCAGATACGTAATCTCAAAACCTTCTTGCTGAAGATGGCGGCAAGAATCCAAAACACACTTATGCTCCGTCTGCGTAGTAACGACATGTCGTTTCTTCTCCTTATAAAACTTCATGACTCCTTTAACTGAAATATTATTCGACTCCGTCGCTCCTGAAGTGAAAACGATTTCTTTCGGCGACGCGCCGATTAAATCGGCGATTTGAGAGCGGGCGGTCTCCACGGCTTGATCGGATTCCCAACCATAGAGATGAGTGCGCGAGTGAGGGTTGCCGTAGCGAGCGAGATAGTAAGGGAGCATGGCGTCGAGGACCCTGGGGTCCACTGGTGATGTTGCTTGCATGTCTAGGTAGAGTGGTCGAGCTGAGATTTTTATGCCTTTCATTGTTATGGCTTCCTCATTTTGTTGTGCTGATGCGGGTGCAGGTGCGGTTGCTAGTGCCGCTGCGGTGGAGAGACGGCGGTGGAGGGACGAGGATGCGGTGGTTTTGTTTAGGGTTCGGCGGAGAGCGTTAGCTAGAAGCTTTGAGGCCATTGTTTTTTGGAACATGTTCCTTTGCCCCCTTTCTTCTCAGTTGCGTTGGTGTTTATTAATGATGCAGTAAAGGAGGCAATGATCTTTATTAAGCTAAACTACATTTGAGCCCTTCAAAGTTTACACATATTTCAACTTGATCCTCACATGCCAGAAGCGACAATTTAATCCCTAGAGGTAAGGGATATATATATATATATATATATATCAACTTGATCCTCACCTGCCAGAAGTTACAATTTAATCCCTAGAGGTAAGGGATATATAATGCGCGAAGAGTCTCAGCAGATTCCAGGAATAATGAGGTAGGGAACCTTCTTGCAATACAACTTCCACTCTTCCAGTACTTCCCATACCTGCAAGCAAGATGGATCGACCAACCAATTTAACATTTTCTTCATTCAACTTGCATAAAATAAAAAAGCAGGCATGCAAACCAGTTTAGAAAAGCTTGCTTACTTGGATCGACATCGGTCGTCGCTCCTCTTGGCTCGATCAAAAAGAAGGATGACTTTGAAATGCAAAAGAGAAATAGGGTAGAAACTGCAAAAGCAAATAAACAAGATATTAGCAGCTAGGAGTAGAACATCCAGTACTGGATTGAGAAATTATTCATAAATAAATGTGCATGCTTACATGAGTAAAAAGAGCTGGGACACTCCACAAAAACCCAGTTAATAGGTCAGGTAGATAATGGAAATGATGAGACACACCCCACCTGAAAAAGTTCACGACAGCCTCAGTACAAATTTTAAGAAAAGGATGAAGATTCATGTCTTTACAGAGGAAACAGATTGGAAAGGATGCTGGATTTAACACCATTTTGATAAATTCACCTCATGCAATTGAAGAATCTCAAAGCTTGTCTTAAACCACTTACCATCCTGATGCTAAAAGGAGACTTGTCTTTGTTTCCCCCGATGTCGTAGTGTATGAGGCCACAATCTGCTAAAATATCAGAATACATGGTTGAAAATTACAATGGTGTAAATCTAAAAGGGATAACAATATAACATCAAATCACCTTCGATGGAGCCTTCCCCCAAATCAAACATTTTCCATTAGTTCTGCAAAATTCTTGCTTTTGCCTGTCGCAATCGTAAATGATATATAAGCAGACAATGCCTGCCACTACTATACTGAGTGCAAGCTGGAAAAAATACAGGAGGGAGATGGTTAATAACTCGAGGAATAAAATGTGTTAGGTAAAACAATTGTTCTTCAAGACTCACGGGACAAAAAGAGGATGATATACCTGAATTCCGAGGTTCACAGGATGGTTAACTAGGTACATGCCAGGGGAAGTATAAACGCATGGAAGCCATACCAAGAATCCCCAACAAAGATAAATTCCAGCTGCCGTATCTGGAAGGAGAAATAAGCATATAAAGTTAAGCACAGAATGAAAAGATTTTGGAGAAAATGAAAAGCCACTTTGAAGATATACAAAAGTAGAAAAGATAAACCTCGATCGTGTGCCATGTCCAATGAGCTCGTTTACCCAGGTTCCCAGTAATAAAACTTTGCGATATTCAACAGCACCAATATTGTGTGTACAATCAAAGAATCAGCTACTTCCCCATTCTGCTCATACCGATACAATATGAAAGAAGTGGATATGAAGGTTTATAATCATGTGATTATATACATGTAAAACTTGGATTAGAAACTCGAAAACAAAGATAGGTTGAATGACACACATTGCTAGTACAAGGTAGAAACAACCTCGGTGACGAGGAAGCTTACAAGTGGAGCTAAAGTTTGAAAATAACGAAGCAGAAAGCTGTTTATGATGGTCGCATGCAGGGCTTCTTAAATGATGAAACGATGAATAAATGGCATTGTTGACGTGTAGCACTGGTTCTGGATGGGTTAAGTGATGCCTTTATCAGCTAAACAAACAAGGGGTTTTTAAGTTTTTAACCTCTTTAATGAAGAATTTGTATCATCTTAGAATCAGTATTAATACAAACGCAAGTTTACAAGACAAGTATTGTTCTCACTAAGAAATGACTAACAGCATTTTCCTGCTTAATGCAATAGGTTAATGTCAGAATGGCACAAGCCATCATCCCTAATCTGCAGTTTGTGAAAATTTTGATGTCAAAGTTTTTTCCAATTCGAGGATACAGCTCCATACCCTGAAATGGAAGAAGAGGCATATATCAAAAAAGCAAGTCCTAGACTACAAGTAAAGTGCCTTTAGGAATTCCTTGTGTGACTGAACAAAAAAGGGTTATGAAGTAGAAAACAAAAAGATATTGTTATCAAAACCTTCAGATTTCCGAAGTCCTGAAAACTTTTCAGCAGGGTTCACAGATTTGGAAAGAAGAAGCTTAAATTTGAGTTAGATACAAGCCAACAAATTGGTGGATTTCTAATTTAAGCTTCTTCCTCTTAGTTATATATCTGGTTCAATCTCCCTTCCCCCTCTCATTTAGATAGCAAATAGCAACAATAATCACATGAGAAAAATGAAGATAGCATAAAAGATCTGGACTCACCCAATATAAGTCGATTATTACGCTCTCAGATGAACCAGAATCAGTAGATGATGGTGCTAAATGACCCTTGCAGACACAAAAACATTTCGGTAAGAGGTATGGAAAAATAAACATGAACCTAAACAAGTTGCCTAATTAGAAACTCTTACTTTTACGTATAAGAAAAAACAGGAAGACAAATCTTCCAAGAATGAGGGCAGAGAATGTTTCACCCAGATGATCATAAACAACTGCAGGGTTGAATATACCAAACCTGAAAAATAAACACGGGAGAGGTATTAGTTGCATTCTGCAATCATGTGTCACTGAGGTTAAATTGATCATTACTGATCAGAAGCAGAATGTGCATAACTCTACTTCCTGTAAACCTAAGTTAACTGTGTACACTGCTATGCAGGATCTAAATAAAGAAACTTTTTACCAATCACAACCCTTCTGATGAACTGGTGTCAAATTAAATGGAACGCAAACATAAGGATGTTACAGAGACAGTTCTCACCACCAAAGGCTAGCATAGGTAACCAATGTCACTATGTATGCCGCCAAGCCATTTGCCTGCAAATTACAGAAACAAAGCTCAGGAATTGAGTCCTGTATAGCATAAACTTTCTCTCTTTTTTTCCCAATCTTTTGACGGATACAATCTAACTGCACAAGAAATGCCAAAGTTTCTTTGTGTGAACAGTACCTTGTAAACAGGTTGGTTCCCTTCGGGAGAAATTGGACCCTCAACCCTTTTTCCAGGTAAATGAAGCTGAAGTGCAGCTTCAAAAGCCACAAAACAAGCAATCATTTTCCAGGCTGTTGCAGTAGGGATTGGCCAGATGTTTATAAATCCCTGCAGCCCGTGTTGCTTCAAATAATCCCAAGTTTGGGAAACTCCCCATCAGCATGTGCCATTGAATACCATCTGCATTACTACGTAGAAGATTCTAATTTTTACATAATTTTATTATCAGCATGAAGCACATCAAAATCTATTAGCACTGCAGCAGTGAGTACACACAGACATCTTCAGAGGATTTTTCCTTTTCTTGAAACAAACGTATTACAAAAGTCATGAAAACGAAAAAGGTTGAATCGATCAAGGAAGTACTGAGAAAGAAAACTAAGAACATTGAAACGTGTCACTAATTGTAAGTGCGTAGTCTCTGCTCTATTCTCTAATCCATTCAATAATCACCAAACAATTGTTACTCCAAAAGGTTTGAACTCCTGTCTAAAAGTTGTTGAAAACCAAAAGGCAATGATCTTGAGATTACTCCAGCAGACTAATGTGATGTAAGAATCACACATTAACAAGCAACAGTAAGGAACATACATTAGAAATTGGAAAGATGAACTTCATTGTATCTGTGGTCCTTCTTTTCCAGAAAAATAAAAAGTAGAAAGAAAAAAAGCCAGCCAATGGAAGAAACTTTAAGAAAGTAAAGAAAACTATTTCAAGATCTGTGAGATTTAAATGAGAAGAGGAGAAGCCTTACATTAAAATAACTAAAGAAGGGAAGAGTGCCACAATTGACAGCATCGAAACATATGTGACCAATGGTGAATGCAGAGTCTTTGCTTCTGCCATTCTGTCTGTCTCTCTCAACTGAAACTCTGTCTCGAAGGAGACATAAGTACCTACATCTATTTTGAATTTTGGAAAGTGACTTGTGCGTTTTTTAGTTGTAAGTTATGCATCATGCATCGGATTATTAGTTCTTAGAAGATTCGAATATGGAAACAGCCTTTCAAATCCAAACTGCCAAATAATTGAGATGTTGATGATTTCTCCAAGCCAGAGAATAGTTACATCATAATCTGATCTTTCCACCACTTTCAAATAATCAATGGCTACCTACCAATCATTTTAATCGGGATTTCCCTACATTTGAATCCAGTATTTTTCAATTTTTTTTAATTAAAATCCTTATTTTTTCTTTTTTCACTTGATTAAGATTTTCCACTTTTCAAGATTTCTTGTTTTTTGACCCTCCTTTATAAAACTACCAATTAGAGATCGATATTTTTTCGCAACTTTTTACTATACAATATCATGTGTCGATCACTAATTGGTCACGTTATAACAAAAGGTTTTGAAATAAAAAATTTCAAAAGGTTAGAGATTTCAATCAAGCTAAAAAAGAATAGAGAGTTCTATTAAAAAAAATTGGAAAACCACAAGGTCCAAAGGCAGGGAAATCCCCATTTAAGGACTTGAGAAAAGAAAATATTAGCACCACACTAGTTTCCAAAAATCCTAAATCTAAAGCACAGTGGAAGTTACGAGGTTCCATCCGAAAGAAATCTTCTAATTTTAACTTCCAGAAAGAGGAGAGATGGAAAATGGGAACTAAAAATACATTGTAGATTGACCAGCAAAATTTGCATCTTGTTAAAAAACATTGAAGCACCCGAAAAGCACTTAACAAGAGTTATACAATTTAAGGGGGGACTAATAGCACATTGTATTCTTGAGTTCACTAGCAGATGTAAACAGGCAAAGCATGTCCATTCAATGCAAGTTATGCTGCAACTACAAGATATCTCTTAGTAGATTCCAGGAACAATCCGGTAGCGAACCTTCTCACAGTACAACTTCCAGTACTTCCCATACCTGCAAGCAGGAGATTGTGAAAGTTTTAATTCAATTTTCTTAATTCATAAAATGCACCCAGAATCCAATGATAAGTGTTCATAAGCACAGACGACATTTTTAAGAATATGTTCAGAGATTCCATGTGTAGCCTGGCTACCTAAGTAAGAACATAAAGGTTTTTCACTTCAAGCATGTAAAATCATTGAGGATATGAGCATGTGCATGCACACAAGTTTAGAAATCTGTTCTTACTTGGATCGACATCGATCATCATCCCTTTTAGCTCGGTCAAACAGAAGGATGGTTAGAAATATCACATAGAAATAGGGTAGAAACTGCAAAAGCAAACAAAGTTATCAGCAGTGTGTCCACAGGACTTCATGAATTGAGAAATTACTCATATATTCAAATGCTTACATGATTGAAAAGAGCCGGGACAGTCCAGAAAAAAGCAGCCAATATTTCAGGTACATAATGGAAATGACGGGATAAGCCCCACCTGCAAAACCCAGGATAAAATCTATCAAACTGTCCCCAACTCAAATCTTAATACAAGAATTACAGCATCTCAACCAAAAATGGTGTAACTAATCATATAGCTTCATGGATACAACAGAATGGAAACAATGCTGGGTGCAACATGATTTTGACATCAAAGTCATAGCGTGTCCAACAACACTTACCATCCTGATGTCAAAAGGAGGCTTGTCTTTGTTTCCCCAGATGTCGTTTTGTATGAGGCCACAATCTGTTAAAATTCAGAATGTGTTATGCCTCTTTCTCATGGTTGAAATTACAGATCATGTAAAAAATGAAGGATATGTCACCAGATCACCTTTGATGGAGCCTTTCCCCATACCAAACATTTGCCATTTGTTCTGCGGAATTCTTGCCTTTGCCTGTCACAATCATAATTGATATATATGGAGAGAATGCCTGCCGCTAGTATAGAGAGTGCAAGCTGGACAAATAGGAGGGAGATGGTTAGAATAAAGTATATCAAGGGATAAAGGAGCAGAGGAACTCACAACTAATTTTTCCAACCCAAAATCATCAATATCTCAATCATTTGGCCAAATTTTATCCATTTTCCAAGATCAAAAAGACCATAAATTAATAATTTTCACTATTTAATTTCACCTTTAAGCTTTTACCTGATACACTCCACTCAAACTCAATACAAAGAACTTAAAGTATATGGACAATAGAGAATAGCTAAAAGAGGCAATTGAATTGGAAATCAAACCGATGAAAATAGGACTGCACCTGAAGTCCAAGGTTCACAGGATGGTTAACAAGGTACATGCCAGGAGAAGTATACACAGATGGCACCCATACCAAGCATCCCCAGCAAATATAGAATCCAGCTGCCAAATCCCGACAGAGGAATGAGCATAACAAAAGTAACCATTAGAATAAGAGATTAATTACAAGCTACTATGACAGCACAAATTAAAAAAATGAAAAATAAAAAGTCAATGGCAATCTTATTGATGATAAATTCCAACACAAAACTAGAAAAGGACATTTGGAAAAAAATAAACAAATGAAATAGAGAATATGTAAACCTCGATCATGTGCAATATCCATTGTGTTCCAGTAGCCAGCTTCCCACCAAAAAAACTTTGTGACATACACCAGCATCAAAATTGTATTTACAAGCATGGAATCAGCTACTTTCCCATTCTGCTCATACTGATAGAAGACAAAAAAGTGGATTTGAAGATTTGTATTCATGTTATCATAGAAGAAAAACTTGAATTAGAAACTTCAAAACAATTACAAGTTGAATGACACATATTGCACGTGCAAGGTAAATACAACCTTCAGTGATGAGGAAGTACGTGAGTTGAATACTTATAAGAATTTTATGATTTGCATTCATGTTATCATACAAGCAAAACTTGGATTTGAAATTTCAAAAGAAAGATGAGTTGAATTACACATATTGCATGTATGAGGTAAAAACAATCTTCAGTGATGAGAGAGTACATTGGAATTAAGTTGGAAAATAACAAGGTAAAGAAGTGCTTATGATGAGCCGAAGCCACCTAAATAAATGAAATGATATCCACATATTGTTGACATGTAGACCTGGTTCCACATGGCATAATATATGAGTTAAACACAATTCCTTCTTAAGTTGAAAGGTAGTCAATGTCTCCAGAAAGGAACTTGTACTAAAAAAACACCTGAGTCTATAACATCTAAGTTTGGGGATTAACCTAATTCAACATGGAATAAGCTGATAACTAAGAGATTGAAAATTGCTATTTGCTAGTGCCATCAGGAAGAGTAATTTCGACACAAGAAAGTTCATGAACAATGCATTGAAGGAGAAGTAATGTCTAAACAACTTCTAATCATGACTGATACACAAAAAAGGATGCTTTTATCAACCGAAAAACAGAGGGGTTGACCTATTCACTGTAGAATTTGATTCATCTTACAATCAGCATGTATACAATATCAAGCTTACAAGACCAGTATTGTTCAAAAAAAAAAAAAATCATTTACCTGCTTAATGCAATAGGTTACTGCCAGAACAGCCCAAGACATCATCCCAAATCTGCAGTTTGTGAAAACTTTGATGTCGAAGTTCTTTCCGATTCGAGGATACAGCTCCATACCCTGCAACAAAAGAGGAGAAATTCTTAAGAGCAAGGCTTTGACTACATGAATGAAATATAGGAATTGAGTGACTGAACAAAAGAACCATATGAATTGGAAAGGCAAACAATAATTCAATTTATAGTTTTACCAAAACCTTCAGATGTTAGTCTATAAAACTTTTGGCATGGTTCACAGATTTGGAAAGATTAAGCTTAAATTTGAGTTAGATCCTAGCAAAAAAGATAGGTGGATTTCTTGGTTAAATATCAGGCTCAATCCCCCTTTTCTCCTATCAATTTGGTTGGTTAATGACAAATAACAATAGTCACATCAGCAAAATGAAGATATCATAGAGATCTGAACTCACCCAATAGAAGTCGATTATTATGTTTCCACACGAACCAGAATCTGTAGATGATGGAGCCAAATGACCCTTCCAGATAAAAAAAATTGAGTAAGAATTTTATCAAAATAAATGCCAACTGCTAAAGATTGCCTAATTAGAAATCCTTACTTTTATGTATAAGAAAACACAGAAGATGAAGCTTCCAAAAATGAGAGCAGAAAATATTTCTCCCAAATGATCATAAACAATCGATGGGTCGAATATACCAAGCCTGAAGAATAAACACAGGAGAAGTATTAGGTTCACTCTATAATCATGTGTCACTCAGGTGAGATTAAACATTCAACGACCTAAAGTGCAAAGACTACTATGGTAGAATCTAAAAGAACTTTTTACTAACTCTTCTGTAAACGAGTGTAAAGCTTATTGGAACAAGGAAGTCGATGGAGTAAGTTCTCACCACCAAAGGCTAAGATAGGTAACTAAAGTCACCACATATGCTGCCACACCATTTGCCTGCAACAACCACAGAAAGAAAGCTCATATCTGGAGCCATGTAAAAGCTTTGCAGTTTGTATGAAGTAGCAAAACTTTTGTTTCCCATCTTCGGCATTTATAATCAAACAACACAAGAAATAGCATAGCATAGCAGGTGAATAGCAGCTTGACCAAGACAATATCAAGTGAATAGTACCTTGTAAACAGGTCGGTTTCCTTCAGGAGAAACTGGACCCTCAACCCTTTTTCCAGGTAAAAGAAGCTGCAGTGCAGCCTCAAATGCTGCATAACAAGCAATAATTTTCCAGGCAATTGCAGTGGGCCTTGGCCAAATGTTTATAAATCCTTGCAAGCCATGTTGCTTCAAGTAATCCCAAGTTTGACAAACCGACCCATCAGCATGTACCATGGTATACCATCTGCATCGGGTAGAAGATTCTAATTTTAATAATCACTTATACCATCAATGAATCCATTCCCACTTTCTTCGATGCATTTTCTCATACACTAATCAAAATGATACAACACCAAAAAAATCAACATATTATATCATCTTGAGACATATCAAGATCTATAGCTTTTAATACTGCAGTAGTAAAAACACGACCCTTTGTCTAAATTTTGCTGAAAGAAATAAAAAAGCAGCGATCGTGAGATTTCTCAAGCAGAGTGACAAACTTGCATTAAAAAAAAAAATCAAACTTTGACAGGCAATAATCTGAAAGTTTGCTAAGATCTAAAGCGCCCCAAATAAAGATTAAAACGATTCTCGCTTCACTTAGTATATCTATGGTGCTTTCTTTTCCAATAAATAAATAAATAAATAAAAGACCGATAAATATCAGATTCAAATGTAGAAACGAAGGAAAAAGGGCTTACAGTAGAATAACGAAAGGAGGGCAGAGAGATAGAAGTGAAAGCATTGAAGCATAAGTAACCAGCGGTGAATGCACAGTTTTTGTTTCTGCCATTGTCTCACTCTTCCTCAACTCCACTGAACAGAAACTGAAGTGGGTCTCCAAAGACACGGAGACTTGTGATGAAAGAGTGTGTGACTATTTGCGTGCTTTTTGCTTGACTTGGAAAAAGACTCCGCTTTTCTGATTTGCCCGTTAAAAAAATCTTGGTTTCGCCAGGGGTGCATGTGCCATACGACAAATTTTATAATTCCCATCCACACTGATTATTCTATAGACTCGTTTTTTTTTTTTTTTAATTAAAAAAATAGATATATAAAAAAAATTATACTTAAATTCATTAAAAACGATTAAAAAAATTTATATGTTAACTCAATTTTTTAATTCTCTCTCTCTCTCTTAATTTTTTTTTTAATTTTTCATCTTCTATTTATTTTTATTTTTATTTTTTTTGTCTATCTCTTTCTCTATAAAGTGAATCCATACGTGTACAGTAGTTATTTTTTCACACGGACAATACTTCGGGAATTTGAGAACCTAATAAGTTTCATTTATGACAATTTCTTTCCATTAAAAAAATAAGTGATTTCTTGCCTTTTTTTAGTACACTTAACATTATTATATATATAAATATTAAAAAAAAACTAAACCAAAACATAAATTTAATATTCATTGTACTATTTTAAATACTATTCATTTACAAGTATGCACTATTCATCCAAACTCAAATATATTATTCTTTGTACTATACAATGTTATTTTTATAGTTTTCGGATATTTAAAAAGCATTTATGGTAAAAAATTTTGTGACCTTACACTTTGGTTCTTCTTTTTTAAATATTATTTTTTAATCTGTAAATATTTTTATTTGATTTTGGTCTTATTTATTGGTTTTATTTTGGTTATTTTGATCCTTATATTTTTTTCTCTGATTTTTTAATTAAAATTTTTAAGGCAAAAATATGTTTAGGAAAAAAACAATTTACAAAATAAGTTTTTAGCTAAAAATGTGGATAAAGGAATTTGAGAATCTAATAAATTTCATTTATGACGAGTTTCTTGCCATTAAAAAATAAGTGATTTCTTGCCTTTTTTTTTAGTACACTTAACATTATTATAAAAAAAACTAAACCAAAACATAAATTCACTATTCATTACACTATTCTAAATACTATTTATTCGGACTAGTATGCACTATTCACACGGACTCACGTGCACTACTCTTTTTACGATGTAGTGATATTTTTATAGTTTTCAAACATTTTTAAAACATTTATGATAAAAGTTTTTGTGACTTTACACTTTGATCCTTTTTAAAAAATATTATTTTTTAATCTGTAAATAATTTTTATTTGATTTAGGTCCTATTTTTTGTTTCATTTTGATCACTTTGATCCTTATATTTTTTTCTCTAATTTTATAATTAAAAATTTCAAGGTAAAAAGATGTTTAAAAAAAGAACAAGTTACAAAAATACGTTTTTAGCTAAAAATACGATAGAGATAAATAAATAATATTTTTTAATAAAAAAATTATGAAAATATAAAGAATAATTAGTCAAATACAAAATTTTGATAAAAAAAAAGATAAAATTGAATTGAATGAATTTTTATTTAGTTTTGATTTGATATATTTTGATAAACACATAATATAACACGAAACATCAAAATAAAATAATTTTATATATTTTATGTTACAGGTGGAAAAAAAAAAAAAAACTAGTACATGCTACAAATCAATAATTCACTTTCCTTTTTTAGTAATAAAATTTATTGACAATGCTTAGGAATATTGTCATATAAAATAACATATGCCTGATGTCTATAGTAATACCATTTATTTTAATTAAAATATCTGATTTTGAATTTTTTTTTATCATATTCCAACAATAAATTAAGTATAATAGTGTTTCACTAGTGTATACTTATTAGTTTTTGTCACTTTTATTTTATAGCAAAAGAGTAATGAATCACAAAATTACCTATTTCGATAGATTTTAATTCGATATAAGTAGACACAAGAGTGTTCTTTTTTCCTCCAATACACCAATGAAAAAGAAAATAAATAACATGAACCCGTCTCATGAGAATCCAAATTTATTTTTACATATACAATTTTTTTTTTTTTATCATGTACATTTCTTCAACAATTGATCTCTAACCTAATTTATTTACTCGAATTTAATGTCTATTTATTTTAAAAATAATATCACTTTTTATGCGTAAAAATTAGACAATCGGTAACCGAAAATTAATAAAAGGACTACATTAAGAATTTTTCTAAAATACAATAATAGAATACTAATTATAAAATAGGAGAGGGGCCGTATTAAGAAATGTCTTCCTTTGGTTTTGGATCCTGCTCCACTGATCGGGTCGGGTCTAGAGTCTGTAGGCCCATTTGGTTTTGGTTTAAAGTTCCAAACTTTGAGCCCATTAACGGATAAAATAAGCCCAAATGTGGAAGCTTCTTAAAGCCCATAAACACAGTTCTCTGCTTTCTTGTTATAAATAAACGAAGGGTGCATAAAGCCATCAACGCTAGGAAGAAAGAAAGAAAGAAAGAAAGAATGGCAGCAATGGAAGGAGTGATGCAAGACCAATCACAGCTTCAAAATCAGCAGCAGCAGCAGCAACAGATGGTGGCGCCAGAGAGATTGAACCACGCAGTGCAACAACAGCTCAATTTGGAATCTGTAAAGACTCGAGCAATCAGCCTCTTCAAAGCCATCTCTCGCATCCTTGAAGACTTTGACGCCTATGCTCGCACCAACACCACCCCTAAATGGTCGCATACACTTTCTCTTTTTATTTATTTACACCTTTTCTGAGGTGGGATTTCCTTGTTTGTTGATTTAATAGTTTTGACCGTTGCAAAATTTTGTTTTTTCAGTCCAGAATTGTTTGAATGTGGTGATTTCTTGCTAATTAGTTAGTGGGATTTATAGTTTATTAACATGAGCATGCTTGGGTGTTGTGCACCAGGCAAGATATTTTAGGGCAATATTCTATGGTGAACCTGGAGCTTTTCAGCATCGTGGATGAGATTAAGAAGGTTTCGAAGGCTTTTGTTGTGCATCCAAAGAATGTTAATGCAGAAAATGCTACAAGTATGACTATTAACGGAGTGCTCCTTTTGTTGCTGCATGTTTGGCTGTGCTGAGTAATCTTGTTGAATTGAATAGCGTATGTTGCATGATTTTAACATGGCAAACTTTGTTTTGGATCCTGTGGTACAGTACTGCCAGTTATGTTATCCTCGAAATTACTGCCAGAGATGGAAATGGATGACAATTACAAGAGAGAGCAGTTGCTTCAGGGGGTGCAGAACTCGCCAGTATCCTCGCAAATTGAGAAGTTAAAGGTGGCTTAGAGTTCATTGAGCACACTGTATATCATCATTGATTCTTTGTATTCAGGGACTTTTAGCTGTCTAGTTTTGCAGGCTAGAATAGAGATGATTGCAGCAGCCTGTGAAAGTGCTGAAAAAGTATTAGCAGATACTCGTAAAGCCTATCAGTTTGGCACCCGTCAAGGGCCAACGATTCTTCCAACCTTGGACAAGGCCCAGGCTGCTAAGATTCAAGAACAAGAGAACTTGCTCCGAGCTGCTGTAAATGTTGGTGAAGGTTACAATCTCAACTGCCAATATTCATGCACATATATGTTTCTTGGTTTTGGCTAGAGCATTTGAATTTTGCACTCTTGCAGTCAGGGAGAAACTTATCATCCATCATTTACATTAAACACTTGCAGGCCTACGAGTAACCGGAGATCAAAGGCAGATTACATCTGCACTCCCGGTGCATTTGGTAGATGTTCTGGCTGTGTCTGATGGAATGCATAGCTTTTCTGATTCTTCTGGTAATAAATCATCCCTTTGTGTGCAAAAGTGATTGTTCCCAATAATTTATGTTGGAGATAACATAATGCTGTGGATGAGACTCTGAAAACATTCTCTTACAGGGATGTATATGAAGAATACTCCACCAATGTCGAACAGCATTAATAACCAAGGGTCTATGTTACAGGTTTAATCAATGATTCTTTCTTGCCCATTCTTAATTCTATGTATATGCAATTTTATACTATTGCCTTTTTATGTAGCTATGTACACATGCATTTTGCGGTCAGTTGTGTTGTAGACCTGCACAATTATTTTCTGGTGTAGGAGGTCACACCATGCTTGGTTGCTGTCTCCAAATTGTTACCATCTCATCGAAACTCCTGGTTATTCGAGGGATAGTTATATGAGATGCTTTGGCAACGTATAATGTAGACTTGTGGATGTATTAATGTGGTAGTGCAATTGGAATTAAGTAGTCATAGTGGAGAAGGGTTAGGAGATACAGTACGACATGGGTGAAGTAGTTTAAGTGGCTCGTACATAAAGTTAAAACTCTAAACAGAACAAATATAAGAAAAAAGAATGTTTGTAAATTGGTACTGACTTCAACTAGTTTGGAATATAAATCGAGTTTCATTGGCATTTCTTGCAATGAAACTTGCACGATATATAAGATATGTCTTTGTACTACAGATACTGTACTCTGTAGGATCCCAGCAATCAAATAGGTGCTTTTAAGCGTATCTTAGGAAAGCAATACTATCGAATCAATCTGAAGTTATTTACCATAAATTCTTTTGTGATGAAAGAATTAGAGCCTTTATATGTTGCCCTGATTGCATGAGAGCTCTTATGAGTTTTCTTTTCTGGATTTGAAGTTGCACTTTTTTTTATCTTCTGATTTTATATTGTAGCAGCCTACTGGAACGCCACTTCTTGGAAGATCAGCTGCATCTCCTTCTGCTGCCACAAGTGCTACTTCCTTTGATCACACAACACCATCCCCACTGCCATATGCAAATTCACCTCGGTCCGGTACAAGCATAATGAACACACCTTCTCCTCAGCAACAAGTTCAACAGCAGCAGCAGCAGCAAAGGCAAAAGATGATGCAGTTACCTCAGCATCAACAGCAACAGATACTTGCTCAGCAACAGCTGAGGCAATCTTCACTGCAAGGCTTGGGACAGGTATTGGGTTTTGCTGGT